CTACGGCCTCAAAATAGCAAAAGAACGCCCCCAGAAAGAAAACAAAATAGCAACATGTCATCCAACTAGCCTCTCACTCATTAGTGCAACCCCCACCCCACCACAGGGGGAAGGGAGCTGACCCGGGTGAGCAGGCAACCCACCAATTCAGTTCTAGAATGATAAAAGCCACCAACCTAAGGGAGGGAGGGTGTCAGGAACCCTACAAGACTTGCTATGAAACTGCCATTTCATTACATTTAACAATGGTTTTCTATAGGGAGCCCCGTTGGTTCCTTAAAGCTAACTACCCACAGAGAAGGCAAACAGGGACTAACCAGGTAGGCAGCAGCACCGCAGGTCTCAAAACGAGGAAGAGACCGATGGCTGCGACAGGTGCTCTAAGGCCACGCAAGGCCGCAAAAGACCTGGGATGCATAACCACAAAATGAGCAGAAGAAAGAAAAGAAAGAAAAAGAACCTGGTCCAGTGACCAAGAAGGCTCAGGTGGCACACTAGCAGGCTGGAGGTAAAAGAATGCACAAGAAACCTTACGAAATGGAACGGAAATGACATCCATCCCGAACATAGCTACAGTGGCTCCACCAGCACCGCACAAGAAGAAGTGACAAGTTTCGGCATGAGATGCCAATACAGAAAAAGCCAGGAGTGAAAGGACAAAACATCCCGGTCAGACAGACGAAGAAAAAGAATATGGCAGAAAGACTGCCAAGAGACTTCATATCGTCACTTAGATGAAGGCCTGCAGGTTGGACACCATCAAAGAAACCACCTGATCACCATATAAAATGGCGATATACATGCATCAGAAATGCCAGACGCGTAAAGCGGAGGAGCAAGTCGAACCAGCGAGGTACCGCACCAGACTGACCTGCTGAAAGAGGAGGTGCTGTGGAAAAATGCCCAAGTTCAGTCACTAAGCAAGCAATGCCTAAAACCAAGGCTGGGCCAGCCACCATGGAGCCAGGAGAAGAACTCTCCCTTGAAAGGATTCCAGTTGAACCAGAACTCAGAGCAATAGCCGGACCAGGGGAAAGAGGTACAGGAACCCCCACCTCAACCAGTCCTGCCGAAACGCATCCACGGGAAGAGTTTAGCAGTTGGGGAATGGCACCACATGCAATGGGAGATGCAAAGGCCACGCCGACATAGATGTCCACCTCCAGGCGCCCATACGTCCGGCAAAGCCAAGGGAGGGAAGCAGCATCAACCATTCACTCCATGGAAAGAGGAATGAAGTGAGACAGGATGTCTACAAGGACATTGTACACACCCTAAACATTACCAGCACAACAAGCTAAACACCAAAAACTCGGCAGAAGAGCTACAAGAAGCGACCAGCCCTAAAGAGCCATGGACCGAAGAAACCTCTTCCCCCGGTTGAGATAATGAACCACAGGGGAGCATTCCGAATGGAGCCGGATCATCAAGCCCCAAGGAACCTAAAACCTCTGCAACAATAACCACACTGCCGCAAACTCCCGCACTGTGCAGTGAGCCCGACACACAGACAGCCGCCAACACCCCTGGCTGGACTAGTGAGCATTTGTCACAAAGCCCCAACCAACTGACGAGGCGTCCATGAGCACATCGAGTGAGGGAGAAGAAAGGCGTCATGGCACTGAACCCTGAAAAACCCGAAGAGGAAGCTGGTGACAGCAACCGGCTCAGGGCTATTGGGGGTCGAACCCAGCTATCTTGAGAGCGGCGAAAGAGGCCACCCCAAAGAAACCAGACCAGCCTCGGAAGTCATGCGTAGTCCAACGCATAAACCAGAAGAGCAAAGATCAGGCTCCTATACAGCTGCTCGAGCAACCGCCAAATGACCCAGGTCCCCCACAAAAACAGCCGACGGTGGGACTGCAACTGGAGAAAAGCTATGGGAAGGAAAGAAAGGGATGCAGTCTGAGAATCCCACACAAGAACCAGCCAAGTACGAACCCAGGACAGGACAAACTTGAACTTCAGTCAGGCCACCAGGAACCTAAACCTGGTGAGCTAGGAAAGAGCCAGATCCCATGCTAGCAGATCAGCTTGGGAGCCCACACCAACCAGTTGTCAAGGTAGGCCAAGACCTGAAGACCAAGCAGCTGAAAACATGCCACCACGACTCGAGTCAAAGGTGGCAAAATGCCCGAAAAGCCCACAATTCGGGGGAACAGGTGTTGGCAAATGAGCAAGCCTCCCCCCATTGCTTCGACAACCGGGCAACCCACAAAAGGGCCGAAATAAACCCCCAAGTTGCTGACCTTCGTACAGAGCGAACACGTGTAGACCAAATGAAAAAACCAGCATTGGATGTAATGAAACTCCATTTTCTGGGTGAGCCCCGGAGGCTCCCTGGAGCTTATCGGACTAATGTATGTTACATTAGACCAGGACATTAGCTATGGAGTTCAGACCTACAAGGGACTATGAACTAGAACCTGGCCTCTTCAGAGAGGTTTCAGGGAGCAATGGCCCTGGAACCCCCCCACCCTGTGGTTGTGGTTTTTCCTTATCTGCCATCGACCAGGGTTAGGCACCCAGAAAGGTAGGCATAACAAAACAAACCCTACATGGTAAGAAACTAACAACAAAAACTGAACAGAGAGGTAGAACTCCCTACAATCCCAAGAAAACAAGCAAACAAGGAAACGTAACACACTACTGCTGTGTCACATGTCCGCGCAGCCCTCCCCTCCCCGAGAGGAGGGAGGGGAGGGCTAAACTTGTGTGACCTTGCGTGGCCTCCCTAGGCTAACCTTGCATGGTCAGATAACCCTGATCAAACAGGAGCAGTACTCACGGAGCACCTAAGTAAGGTGACCATAGATACATGCAGCCCCGGTACCCTGTAGAACTTCAGGCCAGTGCACACAAAGGTAAGAACAGCCATCAGGACAAAAGTCCATTAGAGAAATCGTGGCGTGAGTCGAGGTCTGACCCCGAAACACATCAGTCACAAACTAAATTGGTGGGTTGCTGGCTCTCCCTACCCCCATTGGGGAGGGGGGGTAGTTGGATAACAGCTTGCTTGTTTCTTATCTTTCTGGGGAGTTCTTTTGCTATTTTGAGGCTGCAGCTCACAATTTGCAGCCAGACAGTGGTCTGTTTTGATTTGTCTACCATTCTGGGTGCCTTCCCCCAGTAGATGGCAAAATATGACATACTTTACATTTAAAATGCTCATAAGCCATTGCTTTGTGCGCCTCTCTGAGGGGGCCAGGGTCTGGCAATGGTTCCTGGTAGGCAACAAGAACTCTGCAACTGATGACCCCAACTAACGTAGCACTATATCAATATGGATAGCTTCGGGGAGCCGACGGGGCTCCCACAGAAATCAAGATTTATTTGAAGTTAAATATAAACAATACCATCTATGTTATAAAAAAATGCTTTGGTTATTGACCTTGAAATACATCAAATAAATCTTTCAAAAATTGTGCAAGGTTTGTCCATTATCATAAGAATGAAAGCAATATCATAATAGTACCACAAGGAGTTGACAAAAACAAATTTAACCCTTTAACTGCGCAATGCGCCTGCAGGCCCGTGTCTGGGGTGCACTACACACCTCCGGGTATTTGTATTTTTCACGTTCCATTCAAAATTCCTGCGGCTACATGGGGTTCACATCAGCTTCCTCGGGGCTCTTGTAAACAGACTCCATCTATACAAAAAATCGTGGTCCACATTCCCGGGTGTGAGAGCCTCAATATTGAGTGAGCAACCAAGGCCGGTGCATGCAGCATGAGCTCACAGCACTGCTGTTCAGCTTGTGACCACAGCATCGCTTAATGTCAAAAAATATATATAACGTGTATTATTTAGCCATGATAGTATTACAGAAGAGCCTGAGTGTGTACAATGTTTAAATATTAGTGATTCAATGCTGTTCACAATGTTTACAGCACCACAGCATTATTTCGTCCATCTAGGAATCTTCAAACGACTTCTTAGGTTCCTTTACAAAATAAACTTGTGGTCAATTAGGTATTTACAGGATTTAGTGACCAGTATTGTGATAACAGCAGGATTGTGGTGATAATAAGCACTGTGAGTAGTATTGTGGGGGGAGGAATTGTGGTGAGGGAGAGAATTGAGGTAGCCTCACTGTGTGTGGCAGCCACTCTTGTTTTGCTCATCATACTAGCTTAGTGGTTCGCCATGGTGAACACACATGCACATAGGTATATACAGTGTGTGTATATAGTGTAGTAACAGCAATAGGAGTATGTTGGGAGGAGCTATGTTGGTGAGGGAGGTGACGTAATTGTAGCGTCGTCTGCTGGCTGCTGTGTGATTTCTCATGCAGTGTGTACAAACAAATACAAATATTTATTCAGGTAAAGTTTGAACACAATACCGGCTTACTTGCATAGTTCTGGTGAGTAAAACATGTAGATAGGTATACATAACATGTGTAAATAGTGTAATACAAACAATAACAGTATGGTGGGAGGAGCAATGTTGGCGAGTAAGATGTTGGAGGAGTGAGGGAGACTGGATGTTGGAGGAGTGAGGGTGTGTCGGACCCCATAGTAGCCAAAGTACATACAATTTTGACCTTCTGTTACTATATCCATACTCAGGGAAGGTTTTTGACACTTTCAAAACAGAAAAGAATTTTTCTAGAGATTTTATTTCCTGCGCACTGGGGGGGGGGTCATATTTGGAGGTCGCGCAGTTAAGGGGTTAAAAATAAAATTTGAAATATAAAATGCCATTTGATGTTAAAATGGGCATCCATAAATGCTACAATACTTCTGTTTAATTTAATTCTACAACTTGTTTGTAATATTTTAGAAAAGATTAATAGGCCAACATAAAATGGATACAGTGAATATAATATAGCTTTCGTGAGTAGACGAAGGTGAGTGGCTGGCATGTTTTGGGCCACTTTGAACATGTACCAGAGGGAATAAAAGTGTCAAAGATATAGAGAGAAAAAGGCAGAGAGCTTCCCACATAGCTGCCAAAAGTTAAGGATCCTGAAAAACTGTTCGAGTGAAATATACCTTAGCGGAATAGTAGCTTTCTTGCCCTTACGTTTCCTCCTGGAGACAGTGAAAATATATCACAGAATTATTGTTCTTATGATTCTCTTATGAAAGAAAAACAAAATGGATGTTATTATACACAAGTACAGTTTATGTTATAGAAAAATGGGAGAAGAAGTGCTTAAATTAGCATTCAGAGTTTTTTTTAATATGAATTGTTACACACACTCTTGCCCTCTTAGTTCTTTCTCTCCATTATCTTACTCTCTCTCTTGCTCTCTCCCTCTCTCTCACTCTTGTTCTTGATCTCTCATGACTCCTACTCCAGCAATCTCTCTCTTCCACCCTCCGTCTCTCCTCCCCCCCCCTCCATCTCTCCTACCAATACTGGGCATGTGCATTCACAATAATTTCTTAGCATCACTTAGCATCACAGGGAGCAAGTCCTGTCATTATCATCCTCTACTAACCGTAGAGGCACATCACACAAACTTCAAATACATGCAAAACACAACACAAATAACACACACACACACACACACACACACACACACACACACACACACACACACATTGCATAGAACACACTAACTAGATCCAGTGCCTGGCCCCAGGCTTAAATCCCAGCCTAAATTATAATTATCAAATCCTGCATATTCCAAACAATCTCGCTTACCATTTTCTTCCAGGATACTCAGCCCATTAGTAAGTGCAAAACTATATTCTACCATTGTATTAGTTTCCTTATTTCCAACACTGTCTTCCTTTCATATCAACTGCAAAATTATAAAATCATAAAGTCTCTGTGCTGTTTAAAATCTTAATAACTTCTGTTCTGTGGGAACTAAAAACAATCTGTAAAAGGATGGACAATACATTTTTCAGCAGTAGTGTTAGGCAATTTCCGGACAAGATTTTCCCATACAACTGGGCTGAAAGAAGCAGGCCAATGCCTTGGCCAGTACACTCACTGGATTTGTCCCTACTGAATTTTATCTCCCACTGGGTTATCTTCATTCCAGAAAACTCTTGTTTAATGCTAAAACTAACCCTACTGTACAAGATACTTGTGGAACTTTAAAATTGTATCATGCTTTGTATTCATAACGATGATGGACATATTGAGAAATAAACATACCAAGATTAAATGCTGTATACTAAAACTTAAATTTTCTTACTGAAACACTTTATAGATTGATTTTATCTCTTTTAGAACAGAAGTTATTAAAATTTTGAACTACACAAAGACTTCATACAAAAGAAAAGATACATTTATACTATCATACTCGTCATCAACCTTCACAGTTTCACCTATTTCTTTATAGCTCAATCTTCACCTCAACAATACTCTCCCATCCTTTAATTTCCTTCCTCTGCCCTTGACAAAACCCCTTCAGTTCCTCCTTCCCCCCTGCTGTGTCCCCATACATGCCTGCTGATACGTTAACCGAAGTTAGTCCCCATGCTGCCCTGGGCTGCTTCTTGTGTTCCCATACCAGTCACCTCTCACACACACCAAGACTACAGTACTCACCTGGCTGCTTTGGGCTCAACAGTGTATTTGTGAAGGTCGCTCACTACTGCCGTTGCTACCACAGGTTTACTGCCAAAGGAACGGTGGTCCACTACTCTCAGTGTTAATGGTGGCATATATAATTCCTCTTTTGGGAGCTCCTGTCAAGTATGATAAAATGACATGATTTAAAATTTAATTATAATATCTATAATAACTGTATATCTGTAGCTTCACCTTAGTCCTATCAAAGCAAATAAAAACAAAAAAATGATCTGTATCAACCTTATAGCAAGTGAAAATTTCTGGAAACTTCAAAACCTTGCATACAAGAACAGGCTCTAACAAAAACTCTATGGTCCAAGACCAAAATCTTCCCTATGAACAGAGCAGAGGGGAGCCTGGGAATCCCTGATCACCACAGGATAGAAGTTAAGACCACCAGCAAAGGAGAACTCTTACAAATATACAACTGTGAAGACAACATTTGCATTCCTCACCAAAATTATATAAACAGTTGTTAACAAAGACAAAGTGCAAGTTGGTAATACTTGCTTACCACCAAGTTGTGAAAATTTTCAGATATATGTTGGCCATCCTTAGGACTTTGTGGGGCTGTGCTTATGTCTGGTCCTCTTTAATAGCATCACATGTGTAACTAGTGGCTTTTTGTCATGTGTGTCATGATTAATTGTTTGCTTCAGCTGCATAACTCCAGGTTTTTCTCTTCTGGGTGTTGCTAGCATTGCCGCTGCTCTCAGCCAGCATTCTCTTCCCTAAGAGGGGTTGGAAGTTCACCCCTTCTGAGTCTCCTCTTCATAAGAGGTCTTGCCTCAGGTACTGTACTGTATAAACTTGGCTCCCATGTGGAGCCCTGGGGCCTGGTGTTCAGTGTGGGCCATAATATTGCCATGAGTTCAGTTGGCTAACTTTCACCCAGCCTCATCTTTGTTTCCAGTCCTGGTTCCCAGTAGGCAAGGGTGGGTCTCAAGATACCTGGTGCATCTTCTTAAGATCTGCCTGAACTAGCGCTTAGCTCAGAGAGCTACTGAGGTGGAATCTCTCAGAAATGTATTTTTAGTCAAACAAGAAATTTGGGTTGTGTGAGCTGGAAACTGTTGAAAATGTAATAGGCTTGCAGATCTGATCTACCACACACTTAACCCCACATAACACCAAAATTCACACACAATTCAAAATTTAGTATAAATGTAATTCCCTGCATACCATTGAATCAACAATCTCCAATACCACACAGAGTATAAGCTGTCTAATATTCATTTAGTAAATATCAGGCTGAATTAGCTAAAATGGAAGTCAGAAATACTTAAAAATAAAAATGTCTTGAATATAATGTTGCACTTGATACTAACAACATCGAAGACCAGGTGAGGCTCATCAAAATTTGGGTTGAGGCGAGTGTTGGCCATAACAGGAGAAATAACTCGTTCCCCCCCACACTCAAATTCAATGGACGGTCGTGTAACAGACTGTAGCTCAAAAGTAGCCATGTTCCTCACACCCCAACACAATACCTGGGAGGAAAAGGTGGAGAGTCTATATTAATGGTAAATATAGATGCAAATTGTCCAAATAATAAAACTATCCTACTGTTTGGAATACCACCTCACTAATTTTGATTTATAATAAAAGTGGCATTACTCTTAAAACAGCAAAAGAACACTAAGAAACTGGAGGAAGTACCTGTATTACTGTTCTGATCTGCGGCATAAGACACAAGTCTGTAAGCTAGAATTATTATTATTTTTTTTTTTGAGATATATACAAGAGTTGTTACATTCTTGTACAGCCACTAGTACGCGTAGCGTTTCGGGCAGGTCCCTGGAATACGATCTCCTGCCGCGAAGAATCGTTTTTTCATCCAAGTACACATTTTACTGTTGCGTTAAACAGAGGCTACAGTTAAGGAATTGCGCCCAGTAAATCCTCCCCGGCCAGGATACGAACCCATGACATAGCGCTCGCGGAACGCCAGGCGAGTGTCTTACCACTACACCACGGAGACTGTAAACTATTACTATAAACCTGAAGTTGTAATTTGATATTACTGACCACAATTTAAAACATCAATGCAGTACTACAGTAGAAGAAATAATTATTTTGAATTTTATAGTAGATGATACAGTACATTAAGACTCAAAATTCTATTGGCAATAATTACAAATAAAAAAGTATTTCATTAGTGTTTAATGTTTTGCATTATTATTTTGCCTAAAATGTGCTGAAACAATTAATGTACTGTAGTGTAATTTCACATATTTGTACAGTAGATGGAAAATATATTGAATATCTATAATTTGTTTTGAATGGGTTCAAGCCTTCAAATTTAATTTAATTATATGGGAAGCACCAAACTGCCTCTTAAAAATATGTTTTTATATTTATAAAGAATTGTACAATAGTTAAGTAAACTTACAATTACTTTACAAAGCAGCACTGTATGTACTATCATATGTGGTTAAGAATACATATACCCTCATAATAACATACTAGGCATTCATATCGTGTTCATAGCTGTCATATCCACATATCCCTCATATCCACAGGCTATACAGCTCACTACCATAATCACATTATGATAACACACGATGACAAGGTAAGTGTGTAAAGTTACTGCTTGACATACAAAGTTCAACCCCTCGGGTTCCAGTGAACCTAGCACTTCGTATGAAATGCTTTGCGTATTAGTTTTATTTAATATGCAGCCCCTGTACCTTCAAATATATATGCCGTATACCTCTGATTTATGTTCTTAAGTATGCACATCTTATAAATAAATTATTCTATTGTTATTATTACTTCAGTGGCTTACCAGTTACATTTATTCCCATTTCTACAACCATGGTATCACCACATTAGTAACCCATTTATTCTTGCATCCAATCCCTGAAAATACGATATAAATGCCCGATATAACCATAGAATTAGATAAAGGTTATGCATAATTAATTTTGCTTTTAAATTTAAGAAATGGTAAGTTGCATAAAAAAGTCGGGACAGTTGATAAGAGCATACTGACTTCAATCCTTGTTCGTTGCAGAAGTGGCCGGACACCAAAAGGCACCATGTAGAGGTCGCCACGGGTGGGAGGCAACATGGGAAGCTCCTCTCCATCCTTCAGCATTAGTTCAAATGATGCCAAAAGTTCACCTAAGGTTAAAGGAAAATCTTAGACAACAGTTATGTTGATCAACTTCTTTCTTTTGATGTATTGCAAGATGCAGATTGTTTGTAATTTTTAACAGCATCATACTTAAAAAATATACTAATTTCTAAAGAACTCTAGCTTGTATTTTCTAGCAACATAAAGAATAACAAATATACAAAAATCCAAATATTCCCAATTTTTGTATTGAATAGAACCAACAAAGTAAATATTTAATCCATTCTCAAGCATCTCTATGAACACTATACACAGCATCATGCAAAAATAATCATTAAGAACAGAGTATCCTACCCTGTTTGGCATCTCCCCTGGCCAGTGGATACCACTGAAGGACTTGAGGTTCGAAGCCTAATGAAGCTTCCACTACCACTGGTGTACAGAACACACGACCTAGGAACTCTGGCGCACCCTACAAGGGAGACAAATTGCTTTTTAATAAACAAAAAATTATAACTACACTGCATTTAAGAAGAGTCTTAAGAATAACATTGCTTTAAAGTAACAATCAAGCCATGCAGGTGTTTCTTTAACTTAGAGTGGATTATTTTACCTAAGAAAACAGCCTGTCCTCCAAGGTTTCCGAATGTCAAGAAACTGTTGTGCTAAAGTGCCCTTATCCTAACCTACCAGAGGACCTAAACAGAAAATGGGACAGGATGTAAATTTTGCGAGCCACTAGCATTTTCTAGTGTGCCGATTTTTTGCCTTATCCCTTGGGAGGCGGCTGCCTTAATAGCTTTTAACACTGCCAGGTGCAATAACAAAAAAAAATTCATTTCTGTCTTATAAAAGAGTTCATTTGTGTTCCCTAATCATGGGAAAAATAATATAAAATCATAGGTGACATATTTTGGCTGCAATAGGGTGGGGAAGTCTGGCAAAATTGAGGCGTTGACAGAGAAGGCGTCCGGTGGCGGTCTGCTCCACCTGCGCTGACAGGCGGGAGTTGCCACAAAGATGATATTACCTAATTATTTCAATGTCTCTGATTTTTTTCTCAGTTTTTTCAGTAATATTATTCAATAGTGTGTAGTGTGATATATTTATATAATAAAATGTGTGAACCAACTGTACAACTAAGCTGGTATGGTGTCCAATGGTGTCCAAATAACATAGTGGTCACCAATACCCAAGCCAACAGGCGATGCTACCTCACCAATATTCCTCCTCTAGCCATACTGTTTGTGGTGTTATTACACTATATACACATTATATATAAGTATCAACATGTTTTATTCACCATACCTGTACAACTAAGCTAAGTGTTTTTCCTGCCCGAAATGCTTTGCTTAATAGTGGCTTTAGGCATTGTATGTTCTAGCTCTATCTATAAATCCATCAACTTTTGTATCTTACCTTGTATGTATGTACTTTACCTGAATAAATATTTGTATTTGTATGGTGTCCAAACAACATAGTGGCCACCCTACACAGCATGACAAGTCCGACAGCAGACAATGCCACCCCCCCTCACCAAAATGGCTCCTCCCAACATACTCCTTTTGCTGTTATTACACTACATACGCACGTCATATATAAGTATCTACATTTGTGTTCACCATAGCAAACCACTAAGTGGATATAGTGAGTCCAGACAATAACAGGTGGAAACACAGAGTCAGCAGATGATGCTACCTCTCTCCCTCACCCAGATTACTCCTCCCACCATACTACTATGCACAGCCCTAATTTCCACAAAAATCCTGCTATTATCAAAATCCTGGTCATTTTTATCACAGTCAAGGGTTTTCTGTAATACTATCATCGCTAAATAATTCCAGTTACATATATATTTTGACATTTTTAGGTGATGCTGTGGTCACAAGCTGAACAGCAGTGCTGTTAGCTCATGCTGCATGCACCAGCCTTGGTTGCTCACTCAGTACTAAGGCTCTCACACCCGGGAATGTTGCTCATGATTTTTTTTAAATGCCGTCTGTTTACTAGAACCCTGAGGAAGCTGATGTGAACCCTGTGTAGCCGTGGAACATTTGAATATTCCACGTGCACGGGACCCTCAATCGCCTATGTATTAAGTGTGCCATTCCTTGACAGTTACTCTCATTGATTATGTATGTACTGCACCCTTTAAGTATTAGGTAGAGTATATATCAAAATGCAACGTTCTATTAGGAGAACAGGTTGAAGAAAATAGTACACCTGTAGCAAAAATTAAGCTCATTGATAATTATTGTTATTAGTTTTCATAAGAACAGTAATTTTATACAGGAATACACTGACACACTTTATAATTATACTGTGCTATTTATAATCTAAAATGATCCCCAGCTCTGTTGTTGAAGTTATTTTCATATTTACAATCAGTCCTTTTGCTCTTTCTGGTGTTTAACTCTCAACCCACCTGCAGCTCACTCTTTACCCCTCTCACAGCTCACTCTTTATTCCTCTCACAGCTCACTCTTCATGCCTCTTACAGTTCACTTTTCACTACTCTGATGGCTCGCCCTTTACATCTCATTCGCCCTGCACTAATACAGTGCACCCGTACACACACCTTTCAGCTCACCCAGTATCCCTCTCACAGTTCGCTCTTCACCCCTCCCTCTCACAGCTCACCCTATACCCCTCTCACAGTTCACCCTATACCCCTCTCACAGCTCCATCCTACACCCTTCTCACAGACTTATGGAACACCCTGTACATAGTCCAATTACAACTTGCACAGAAGTCTCTTAAAATAGCCCTTATAGGCCCTCTACAAACTCACCCTAGCATCCCAGTCAAAGACTTCGATCACAACATCAGGAGCCTGAGACCGAGTGGTTGCTACAGGACCGGTCAGCTCCACATCATCAAAGATTAGTGTTTGGTCCCAGGTCGGGCAGAGTGTGGCATTCTGTCGCTCTGTCTGTTGCGTCCCATTGCAGAAACTTACTACTGCATAAGGATCTGCAAGAAGAGAATAGGACAGTGCTTGTAGGTGAGAAAATAAAGGATGATACAAGATATTTTTTAGAAGCAACATGGATAAGTCTCCCTTGTAGTAATCTGTAAGTGAGCAAATGTTAAAAAATGCACAAGAAACTTTTGTAATTCATCTTTAAATTTTACATTTCTATTGATATAACACTTTCTAATCATTTTGTTATGAACTGAATTAATAGTAGCCTACCAAAACACATACAGTACTGTGGCTGGAAAAATCTTCAAGAATAATAGGGGTGAACTTTGAGAAGCCTCTAGCTGCCTGTTCCCATTGGAAATCACTAGAGATGGTGGCGCTTGGGTAAATAATGAAATCTATAAATAACATGTTGATAAAAAAATAGGGCTTTGTGTATAATGAAATGCTTCTTTGTGGGTTTCTTTTAGTGGCTCTCCTGAGCTTATATGAACTGGTTTCCCAGGGCCAAATCCAACACCAGGCATCTGTGATCATCTCACAATATTTTGGAAGGTAGCGGGTGCCAGTATCCCGCCCCTCTTAGAGTGAGGAAGCTTCCTCTACATAGTGAGAAAGCTTTGCCAAAATGGCTTGAAAAAAAGTCACAAATCTCAAAACACTCCTAAACATCAAAATTAAAATAATATGCTGCCATCTTACCACTAACAGAATCTTAATTTAGGATCATGCAGCAATGTTACTGTTTTCAAGTGAAAATAAGATGTAAACATTAAGGCCACCTGGACTCACCTGAGAGGCCAGTTTTATCACCAGCTGGGAGGTCCCTTGCTTGATAGATGTGGGCTCGCAGCTGGTATAAGTGATGCTCAGCACTGACAACATACATCCTTGGGCAGGTCAGCTGGGTGATCTCCTCATCTCCTACAAGAAAAGGTGCCAATTATTATAGAAAATGTATATTTACTTCCTTAAGAATTCCCATTAGACAAAAATTCTTAAGTACAGTATATATAAATTTTGACCAAAAACTTAACTTTTATTTATTTATTTATATACAAGAAGGTACCAACATTATGTTTGTAACTCTTCATCAATATATGTACTTTTACCGGATTAAAAATTTGAAATTTGAATTTGAAAAAGTACATTGGGGGTTAACAGAGAACATAGAAATGAAGTTGATTTTACAGTCTTGCAAAGCCACTAGCACACATAACATTTCGGGCAAGCTAGAACTGTTTTTCTAGTTGAATTTTAAACTGAAGTACTATCTCGGCATTACTGTTTTGGTAGGTAGACTGGATTATTGCTCTGTGGGTGAAAAAACATTTCCTGTTTTCTGTCCTACAGTGTGGCTTGCCGAGCTTGGAGCTGTTGCCCCTTTTGCAAGTTACATTTCACTCTTTTTAAATTGAGATCTGATTAAATATCTTCCAATTTGTTCAGTATTCTGTGGGGAGTCCTGTTGGCTCCCTGAAAGTGTTAATTCTGATCAGTGCCATACTACTTATTGCCATCATTTACGAAATTCTATATGCCTACCAGGGACCACGAGCCAGAACCTGGTCCCTTCAGAAGTGCAAGAAGCAATGGACTATGATCACTTTACATTTAAAGGTTATCATCTTTGTCACCACCTATGGAAGGCACCCAGAAAGACAGGCGAATAAAAACAAAAACCAATGTATAGTTAAAATGGGACCACAGCCCCAAAATTGACAAAAACCAGCATTGAATATAATGAAACACCAGTTTCTGGGTGAGCCCCGGAGGCTCACCCAGAAACCACCACCCAATTTCTTGAATGATGAAAGCTGTGTACTGAAGGGAGGGACGGTGTCAGGGGAGACTCCGGGGCTAACCCAGAAACTGGCATTTCATTACATTCAATGCTAGTTTTCTGGGGAGAGCCCTGTCAGCTTCCTGAAGCTAACTACCTACAAAGAACACAAATAGGGACTTAGTGGAAAGGCTGCAAATGTAGCAGGTCTCAAAGCAAGGAAGAGACAGATGGCCGCAACAGATGTCCTAAGGCCACACAAGACCGCTAAAGAACCGGAATGTTCACGAGATAACTGGTGGCCAGGACCCTGTTTGACCTCCAAAACCCACATGCCCAAATATCGACCCAAGATATATTGCCAAAAACAGCCGAACGAGCGGCATACTTTCTCACATCATGAGCACGAGGGTAGACCACAGGCTGGGTAGACTTAATGACACTGTGATAACCTGAGAAAGATGAGCCCAGGAACAGGGAACCAGGGAAACTGGATCAACCCAAAGAGTGTCCACTGACACAGAACCGATGGCCCACAGATAGTGGCGTAAAGCAGCTACCGGACACAAAACGTGATGCACCCCTGGCCTAACCAACCAAGCATCCACCACTAAAGGGTACCTAGAGGTATTTTCTGGTAGGGCTCTTATGGTGGCTCCCTGTTGCTGTCTCACCATGGAGAACAAAATGCAAAGGGGAACAGACTAGAAGTCAGATTGCTCATCCATCATGGGTCCAAGAACTTGCAAACAGGTCCAGACATACCCCCCATAGCATCATGAGAGGTAAGCTATGAAAGGGGCTGTGCAAAGAACCCCAAGCAAACACACCCCTCCATGATGCTAAAGAGCAATTAGGAGTGAAAGGCAGGTAAAGCATTATGGCCTGGGAATCTAACTCCTGTGGAAACCTACCCTGACCAACAGTGGGTGAGGTCCTGCCCCAAGAAGGCCTCCTTTAAGCAGCAGAGATAGAACCCTGCTACAGAAAAAGACAACTGAGAGGTGACATCAAAAGAAACATCATCTCCCCATACTCTGAAATGCACAAATGCTTCTGAGCCTAGAGCAAAGGAGGGGAAGCTCCATTTTCTGACAAACCACACCAGATGGGTCTGGAGAAAGAGACAGAGGGACAAACTTAAACAGGTGAAAATCGCTAAATGCTTTACTTCCAGATCATAATCTAAGGGGCCAACTTCAAGGCAATCACATCAACACCAAACTGCAAACATATATGGCAAACACTAAACCTCTAAGTTGGTAGCTGCCTAACAGCATAAGTCATGAGATGAAGGCTCAGCCAAAATGGAGACTTAGTGCAACACACACATTGCAGGGTGGAAGGTATCCCCACCCAACATGTGACATAATGGGGGAAAAAACAAGTAGCCATTGGAATGTGAAAAATAGAGGCACATCCTTCAAACTCACACCTAATGAGTGCAGGTTCAGAGGGCTAGACCATACCAAACCTTACCGAATATCACTAAGGTCTTGCCGGGGTCCTGAAGGTAAATTCCAAATGTTCAGGAACAATGGGTCTCCGTGGTGTAGTGGTAAGACACTCGCCTGGCGTTCTGCAAGCGCTTTGTCATGGATTCGTATCCTGGCCAGGGAGGATTTACTGGGCGCAAATCCTTAACTGTAGCCTCTGTTTAACTCAATAGTAAAATGGGTACTTGGTTGTAAAAACGATTCTTCGCGGCGGGGATCATATTCCAGGGACCTGCCCAAAACGCTATGCGTACTAGTGGCTCTACAAGAATGTAACAACTTTTGTATATATCTCAAAAAAAAAAAAAAAAATGGGCAAATGGCCACTCACCGAGGATAAAACAACAAACACCAAATACAACTTGGGTGCAAAGGCGGTTTTGAAGGGCATAAATGGTAAGTGATTCTATTCACCTGGGCTGTAGGAGTCTTGAAATTTGTATGGCAAATGATACAACAAACATGTGAACCCCCTTGTGTTACCCATCTAAGAATACAATCCCTGATTTCCCATTCCCCAACCTTAACCCTTAAACTGCGCAACACGTTTTGAAGGGTTGAGTAACTTGCAATAAATTGCGCATCGCATCATATTACGAGATGTAGTACTACGCAAGATTTAAACGGCCCGCAGATACACGGGGTTCACCTCACCTTCATCAGGGCTCTTGTAAACAGACACCATTTTAAAAAAAAATCGTGGGCCACATTCCCGTGTGTGAGATCCTCAGTACTGAGTGAGCCACCAAGGTTGGCGCACGTAGCATGAGCTCACAGCACTGCTGTTCAGCTTGTGACCACAGCATCGCCTAAAAATGCCATAATATATATGTTCATGCTATTATTTAGCGATGATAGTATTACAGAAGACCCTTGACTGTGATAAAAATGACCAGGATTCTGATAATAGCAGGATTGTTGTGATAATTAGCGCTGTAGTGGGAGGAGTAATCTTGGTGGGGAGGGAGGTAGCGTTGTCTGCTAACTCTGTGTGACCCCCTTTTACTGTCTGGACTCACTATAGCAGCTTAGTTGTTGGCTATGGTAAACAAAACATGCAGATACTTATATATAACATCTGTATATAGTGAATAAAAGCAAAAACATTATGGTGGGAGGAGAATGGTGGTGAGTCAGGTGAGGTGAGGGGAGGGAGCGAGTGACAGCCAGTGGCGGGCTGCCACTGCCACTCAGCATACCAACTTTGTGCTTTGTTATAGTGAACACAAATGTAGATACTTATATATAATGTGTATATATAGTGTAATAATAGCAAAAGGAGTGTGGGGGAGAAGCCATTTTGGTGGAGGTGGCAACATCTACATGATTTGTCATGTTGGTAGGGGTGGCCACTATGCTCTTTGGGCACTATACCAGCTTAGTTGAACAGTTATGGTGAACAAAACATGTAAATACTTATATATAATATGTGTATATAGAGTAATAACACCACAAACAGTATTGTTGGGGGGAGAAATTTTAGTGTGTCTGACCTTGAATGTGTGAGGGAGGCAGCTGCCAGTTGACTGTGTGTAGCAACGTCTCTTAGTGCCTGAACTAACTATATCAGCTTAGTTGTACAGTTGTGTGAACAAAACATGTAGATAATTATATATAACATCTGTATATAGTGAATAAAAGCAAAAACAGTATAGTGGGAGGAGAATGTGAGCGAGTGAGTGGCACCGAATGGCTGGCTGGTGTGTGGTGGTCACTCCTTGTTGCTTTTTGACTGATAATACCAACTTAGTGGTTCGTTATGGTGAACAAAACATGCGATACTTACACCTAACCTGTGTATATAGTGCAATAACCGACAGTATTTGTTCACGGTTTGATGAACATAATACCTGAATCAACAATATGCACACCATAATTTTGAGTACAGTGATGATTTACACATTTTATTATATAAATATATCACATTACACACTATTGAATAATATTACAGCAAAAAAAGAAAGAAAAATCAGACATTGAAATAATTAGGTAATTATCTCTTTGTGGCCACTCCTGCCTGACAGCTGGGGCGAAGCAGACCGCCTGGGACGCATGATACAATACAATACAATACAATTTTATTTAGGTAAGGTACATACATACAATAAATATTTACAAGGATTGTTTGACTTATAGGTAGAGATAGTACATACAATGCCTAAAGCCACTATTGATGAGTCGGTGCCTCTTTTTTGCCAGAATTCCTCACCCTATAGTGGGCAAAATGTGCCACTTAAGATTTTTTTTATTATTTTTCCTATGATCGGAGAACACAAATTAACAGGTTTAGAAGAATTTTTTTTTTTGTTTTTTTGTTATGTGCCTGTGGGTGACAATGGCCAAATAGCCCTTAGCAACACAAGGGTTAAGAGCATTGCAGAGGAGTCAAAAACATGTGTATGACTCAGGGTGATGTTGACTCAGGATGATGTTATCTCCACAAAGGACATCCTTTCAGGGATGTCCACCTGAACTCTCCAGTGAAGACAACTCTGTCAATGCAGGAGTAACATCAACGAATACCTAGAGAAATCAAACTTGACCAGTGGTTCCTAACCATTTTAGGATTGATCCTATTTTATAAAACTCAAAAGACTACCAACAAGGTCATGACCCATTGATACCTGCTTCATGGGGCTCTGGGAGTTTCTCTACTCCCAAAGCCTTGCCCGAGGCCAGGCTTGCCTTGCGAGAGGTTGGTCCATTAGGCTGTTGCTTGCAGCAGCCCACAGGCCCACATATCCACCATACCCCATTTGGTCCGGCACTTCTTGAAGAAAACTATCTACTGTACTCGCTGGGAGGGTGTTGAACAACCGTGGACCACTGATGTTTATACAGTGTTCTCTTATTGTGCTTATGGCACCCCCCTGCTCTTCACTGGTTCTATTCTCCATTTTATTCATTCAAATTTCCAAATTTTATGCATTCTATATCTATTGGGACCTGGCCCTCCAATACTTTCCATGTGTATATTATTTGATATCTCTCTCGTCTCCTTTCTAGAAAGTACATTTGGAGAGCTTTGAGACGATCCCAATAATTTAGGTGCTTTATTGCATCTATGTATGCTGTATATGTTCTCTGAACTCCCTCTATTTCAGCAATCTCTCCTGCCCTGAAGGGGGAAGTGAGCACTGAGCAGTACTCAAGACGTGACAACACAAGTGATTTGAAGAGTACAACCATTGTGATGGGATCCCTGAATTTGAAAGTTCCCGTAATCCATCCTATCAATATTCTGGCTGATGCAATATTTGCTTGGTTATGCTCGTTAAACGTTAGGTCGTTAGACATCATTATTCCAAAATCCTCGATGTGCTGTTTTCTTACTACGGGCAAATTTGATTGTGTTTTGTACCCTGTATTATGTTTAAATTATTGTCCTCATTTTTACCGTACCTGAGTACAGTACCTGGAATTTATCACTGTTAAACATCATGTTATTTTCTTCTTCCCAGTCAAAAACTTTATTAATATCTGCTTGTAGTTTTTCAATGTCTTCAGCAGAGGTAAATTTTATACTGATTTTTGTGCCATCTGTAAAGGATGAAACAAGCTGTGACTTGTATTTTCGTCTATATCTGATACGAGAATAAGGAAAAGCAGTGGTGCAAGGACTGTATCCTGATGTACAGAGCATTTAACTACGCTTGGACTCAATTTTAAATGGTAGGCTGTTACTCTTTGTGTTATGTTCGACAGGAAATTGAGTGTCCACAGTCCTACTTTACCAGTTATTCCCATTGACTACAGTATTTACTGTACCTACTACAGTACAGTTGACTATAGCATACAGTATTTAGAGAAGAATAGTTCTACTCCATTAATCTGTTATGAAATCAAGGTTCAGAATACAGTAAGAAAGCTGGTGAATAACATTATATAATGTAAATATACTGGTATATAAGCGGAAACTTGAGCAAGTAACAACCTTTTGGATTTTTGATGCATGAAATTCATAGAGAAACTAACCTTTTCCAGCCTTGACAGCAAGCCTCGGGGTGGGTGGCAAACCCGACTGAGAAGGCACTAAACGTCTCCTCCATCGTCTGCGTCTCACTACATCCACTTTCCGTTCTAGGGCATGGTATTGGAGCCGAAACAGAGGCGCATACTCCCATCCATCCACTGCCATTGTCTCCTGCTGTTGTTGGGTGAGGAGCAGGTTACTTATTAACAAAGAAAAGCTTATGATTGTCTCTGTATCTAAGTCACATTAACCCTTTCTTATATTCTTCTCTGCTCTCTCTCCCATTCTTTTCTATTACTTTAACTATATTTGTCCTCTTAATAGCTTTCATTCGCTACATAAATCTTTATATATGTCTTTCAATCCTTCTTTAATATAATATGTTCATATTTCTGCTCTAAAACTTACTGACATTTAATCTTCTCTTTCACTGTCACTTTTGCTTTCTTCCTCATTCTCACTTTCATCTCCATATTTTATATGTCAATTCCTTCTTCCTGCATTCACTCTTATGGACACTCACTGATTCTTTAACTCCACCTACTCTTTTATGCATACCTTCTCCATCTTCTGCACTAGAAGACGTTCACGAATCCATCTCCTGCGTCTGCTCATGTGATAGATCTTCTCCTGAGGGGACCAGCCAACCAATGCTGACTCCACTGTATATTCCCAGCCCTCGCCATCCACAGCTCGCTGAAGGTCATACTGAAAACAAGAGGATCAATACAATTTATTCATCTGTTCTTATTTGATACATTCATCTCTTGCTGCTTCTGGTGCTTTCTTTGCTTTTGTTATTATTGTTGTTACTATTCTGAAAGTTTGTTTTAAAAAGATCTTGTTTTATGAAGCTTTCTTCCCAGCATATATATTTTTCTTAGCATTAATATTGATGAAAACTTAGATTAATTCATCATCTACATACTATACAAAAATATTCTTTAAACTCCTCTATATCCCATCCATAGTTGGAGTGCCATGAAACTCACTGTCCAAACATCTCGCCATGCCCAGCCTTCGGGAAGAACGATATCGTCCCGTGAACAAGAAGGATCCCCCCTCACGTCAGCCCATGTGTTGGGGGTATGAATCCAGGTACCCCCTGGGACCCGCATCTGCTGCTCAAACACTTCCTCCGTAAACAAATTGTGTCCAGCATCAGCAGTGAATCTCACGCTAAAAAAAAGCATAACAGAAAATTGAACAATGATGATTTTTAATTCTGATTTTTTTAATGAGAATGTATTTAAAGTTTCCTATTAATAGTTTAATTTACACTGTATTCTTGTAGATAACGACATAATTACTCATGTAAACCTAATGCCTAATAATGCTGAACCCTGGTCACAGTTGAAAGTGCAGAGGAAAGGGTCCAGTAGAGAGAGAGAACCCAAAGAGCAGGAAAAAGAACTCCTCTAGGCAGCCAGAACTATAATGTGGAAAAATAAACAAAGGCACACAAGGGAAACTTTGAAATGGAAATTGACAACATGCCCAACTGACAACTCGGCCTCAGATCTGGACTCCAGGAGTTCAATATTCATAAAGAAATGTAAAGTATCAGTAGCATGAACACTCGGTGTAATATGGAGAAAAATCTTGGAGACGGGGAATTCGAGAAGCACTTAAATCAGCAGTTATAGCTTCAAGGCAGATATAACAAGGAAAGTAGTAAAGCTTTGACAAAAAGCTGTAGACCAGTCACACTAGTAACACACACAAAAGTTTTTCAAAAAGTGATTAGGAATTAAATCTCCAGTTTTATGGAGAGCACTGAACTTCACAATCCATGTCATTGTGGATTTAGAGCAGGAAGAGCCTGCATCTTGCAATAACTTAACCGTTATGACAAAATCATGGAAGCATAAGAAGAATAACAAAATGTAGGTGTTGTGTACACAGACTTTGAAAAGTAATTTATAAGTGTGACCACTGAGTCACAGCCCATAAAATAAGATCAATAGCAATAATAGTTAAGGTAGGGCATTGGATTTTAAATTATAACTAAAACAGAATGCAAAGAATAACAGTCTATCAAATAAAAATAGTCCAAGCACAGTGAAAAGTTTTGTATCCCAGGGCACAATCCTTATACCACTGCTTTTTCTTATTCTCATATCATATATAGACTAAAATAATAGTTGTAGCATCATGTCATCCTTTGCAGATGATACAAAAATCAGCATGAAAATTTCCTCTATGGAAGACACTGAAAAACTACAGGCCGACATTGATTAATAAAGGCTTTGACTGGGCAATGGAAAATAATATGATATTTTAACAGTGATAAGTTCCACGTACTGTACGAATAGAACCACGTATAGCAGAAATGATGAACTTAAACAAAATACAGGATAGGTTATATCTTGAGGTTATCTTGAGATGATTTCGGGGCTTTTTAGTGTCCCCGCGGCCCGGTCCTCGACCAGGCCTCCACCCCCAGGAAGCAGCCCGTGACAGCTGACTAACACCCAGGTTTCTATTTTACTGCTAGGTAACAGGGGCATAGGGTGAAAGAAACTCTGCCCATTGTTTCTCGCCGGCGCCTGGGATCGAACCCAGGACCACAGGATCACAAGTCCAGCGTGCTGTCCGCTCGGCCGACCGGCTCCCACAAAAACGGCTCCCACAAGATACAAGACAAAATCAAACCTACTCATAGAAAGAATAAAACATGTTAAAGATCTAGGAAATATAATGTCTGATGATCTGATATTTAGTGAACATAACTAAGCAACTATAGCATCAGCCAGAAAAAAAGATAGGAAGGATTATGTGAATGAGCAGCTGCATCCAATAGCCTGGTTAACCAGATCACCAAAAAGGAGGCCTGGTCAGACTGGGCCACGGGGACGCTGATGCTAGGAATCGCCAAAAAGGTAACCACAGGGTAACCACAAGGTAATATTCAAATTCAGGGATCCCACTGCAATGTTAATAATATTTAAATCACTGGTGCAGTCCTGTCTTGAATACTTCTTTCAGAGCAGGAGAGATTTCTGAAATAGAGGGAATAGAGAACACGCATGATACGCATAGACATGATAAAGCACCTATATTATTGGGACAATCTCAAAGCTCTCAAAATGTATTCTCTGTAAAGGAAATGAGAGGTGTTTCAAATAATATATACGTGGAAGATACTGGACGGCCAAGTCTCAAATTTGCACAGTAGAATAACAACATACAGTACTTTAATGAAAAGTAGGAAAGGAAATGCAGAATAGAACCAGTCAAGAGTAGAAGTGCCATATGCAAAATCAGAGAGCACTGTATGAACATCAGAGGTCCACAGCTGTTAAATACTCTCCCAGCAAGCATTAGAAATATTGCCGGAACAAAGATGAACAAGGTGAACATCTTCAAAAAGCAATTAGACAGGTTCCTGCAAGAAGTGCCAGACCAATTGAGTTGTAGTGAATATGTGGGCCTGTGAGCCACTCCAAGCAATAGCCTAGTGGACTAAGTTATCACAAGTCGAGCCACGCCCCAGGCCAGGCTTGACTTGTGATAACTCAACTTTCAATCAAAGTCCGGCCTGACTTTATAGGTCAAACACCAGCATAATAGGGCAAAAACCTACTGCAGCCAACCACAGAGGCCAACATCATGGGGCACAAACCTACTGCAGCCAACCACAGAGGCCAACATCATGGGGCACAAACCTACTGCAGCCAACCACAGAGGCCAACATCATGGGGCACAAACCTACTGCAGCCAACCACAGAGGCCAACATCATGGGGCACAAACCTACTGCAGCCAACCACAGAGGCCAACATCATGGGGCACAAACCTACTGCAGCCAACCACAGAGGCCAACATCATGGGGCACAAACCTACTGCAGCCAACCACAGAGGCCAACATCATGGGGCACAAACCTACTGCAGCCAACCACAGAGGCCAACATCATGGGGCACAAACCTACTGCAGCCAACCACAGAGGCCAACATCATGGGGCACAAACCTACTGCAGCCAACCACAGAGGCCAACATCATGGGGCACAAACCTACTGCAGCCAGCCACAGAGGCCAACATCATGGGGCACAAACCTACTGCAGCCAGCCACAGAGGCCAACATCATGGGGCACAAACCTACTGCAGCCAACCACAGAGGCCAACATCATGGGGCACAAACCTACTGCAGACAACCACAGAGGCCAACATCATGGGGCACAAACCTACTGCAGCCAGCCACAGAGGCCAACATCATGGGGCACAAACCTACTGCAGCCAGCCACAGAGGTCAACATCATGGGGCACAAACCTACTGCAGCCAGCCACAGAGGCCAACATCATGGGGCAAAAACCTACTGCAGCCAACCACAGAGGCCAAGATCATGGGGCACAAACCTACTGCAGCCAGCCACAGAGGCCAACATCATGGGGCACAAACCTACTGCAGCCAGCCACAGAGGCCAACATCATGGGGCACAAACCTACTGCAGACAACCACAGAGGCCAACATCATGGAGCACAAACCTACTGCAGCCAGCCACAGAGGCCAACATCATGGGGCACAAACCTACTGCAGCCAGCCACAGAGGCCAACATCATGGGGCACAAACCTACTGCAGCCAGCCACAGAGGCCAACATCATGGGGCACAAACCTACTGCAGCCAGCCACAGAGGCCAACATCATGGGGCACAAACCTACTGCAGCCAGCCACAGAGGCCAACATCATGGGGCACAAACCTACTGCAGACAACCACAGAGGCCAACATCATGGGGCACAAACCTACTGCAGCCAGCCACAGAGGCCAACATCATGGGGCACAAACCTACTGCAGCCAGCCACAGAGGCCAACATCATGGGGCACAAACCTACTGCAGCCAGCCACAGAGGCCACCATCATGGGGCACAAACCTACTGCAGCCAGCCACAGAGGCCAACATCATGGGGCACAAACCTACTGCAGCCAGCCACAGAGGCCAACATCATGGGGCACAAACCTACTGCAGCCAACCACAGAGGCCAACATCATGGGGCACAAACCTACTGCAGCCAGCCACAGAGGCCAACATCATGGGGCACAAACCTACTGCAGCCAGCCACAGAGGCCAACATCATGGGGCACAAACCTACTGCAGCCAGCCACAGAGGCCAACATCATGGGGCACAAACCTACTGCAGCCAGCCACAGAGGCCAACATCATGGGGCACAAACCTACTGCAGACAACCACAGAGGCCAACATCATGGGGCACAAACCTACTGCAGCCAGCCACAGAGGCCAACATCATGGGGCACAAACCTACTGCAGCCAGCCACAGAGGCCAACATCATGGGGCACAAACCTACTGCAGACAACCACAAGTCTCCATAAGACTTGGCTGGACCAGCACTTAGTAAGCAACTGAGTAGGTCTTCCCAGAAAAAGTTATATAATTTTTTAATTATTTGAAATGAAAACCCTAAACATTTAGTGCAAAACAGCAAAAAAAAAAACAGGAAAAGCTTACTCATCCTAACACCCGGATTATTTTTTCTGAATTGTATGATCCCAATTGTTTGAACTATAGAAGGCTCATAATCATATGTCATCCAGATTTTGGAGGTAAGTGGGGAAGTTCTGATTCACACTGGATACAATGTGATCTTGGAAACTAATTGCTTACCTGGGGTCAGGGTCAATAAACCACTCCCCCTGGAAGGTCCATCCCTCGGGGGAAATGAAGGCATCACGAGGAAGACTCAGACGACCATCAGCATCGGAGAATTTGGGCCGAGTCATCAGTACACCGCTGTCCACCCATTTACCACTCCCAGGCATAGATATAACCTGCCAACACAAAACACACATTTTGTTTTTTAAATTTATGCCAGCAATTGCATTAGTACTTACTGTACATGCTAATCATACACTCATTTCACACACTCTTGTGCTCACTTACAAAGCCTTATCCCTTAAACTGCGCATGGCGTATATATACGCCATGAGTAACATGTCCCATGGTGCACATGGTGTATATATTCGCCATAGGGTTTCAGGCACGATTCAAATGGCCCGTGGCTTCACGGGGTTCACATTAGCTTCCTCAGGACTTTTGTAAACGGACGTTATGTTTAAAAAAAATCGTGAGCAATATTCTCCGAAGTGAGAGCCACAGTCCTGTTGGAGCAACCAAGGCTGGCGCACGCAGCATGAGCTAACAGCATTGCTGTTCAGCTTGTGACCACAGCATCGACAAAAAATGTCAAAATAAATATGTAACTGCTATTATTTAGAGATGACAATATTACAAATGACCCATGACTGTGATGAAAATAACCAGGATTGTGATAATAGCAGGACTGTTGTGATAATTAGCGCTGTGTGGAAGTAGTATTGCTGTGGGAGGGAGGGAGATAGCGTCGTTAATGAACTGGAGTGCTGGGTAGCCGGTGCGGGAAGGGGAAGGGCTGTGCGGACGAACGACGTGGCAGTGGAGTGTGATGTTTGCTTGTTTGCTTGTATCCTTGTGATTGGACCGAGTTCTACAGCTCTTTTCGGTTTTTAGTTGTAATTTTCTTACCATGTGGGGTTTGTTTTGTTATGCCTACTTTTCTGGGTGTCTAGCCCCAGTCGATGGCAGACAAGGAAACCCCCCCCCCAACCACAGGGGGGTTTTCCAGGACTATTGCTCCTTGCAACATCTCTGAAGGGGCCAGGTTTTGGCTCGTGGTCCCTGGTAGGTCAAACCCCTTAGACTAATGCCCCGGTCTAATATCACAGACATTAGCCTGATAGCTCCAGGAAGCCGAAGGGGCTCCCCACAGAAAGGGACCCAATATATAGAACTCCCTTCCTAATGCAATAAAAATTGCTCAATCTGTACTTTACTCAAAAGTAAACTGATGAAGTACCTAATTTCTCTCACCATAGTACCCACCTAGTGCTACTAACCCACCTGAAAATTTTCTATCCCAAAATATAACTTGGTATAATTTCTCATTATCACCACCTTACCCTATTACAAATGTTATATACAATAATAATGTTACCTCTCAAAGTAATCCAATTTGTCATTGTCATCAGTCACTAGTTGTATTTTGTTTGGTTTAAGATTGACTGTTCACCTTGTAACTTTATATTCGCTGCTAACTTTTTGTAAATTTAAGACTTCCCTGAAGCCCTGTGTAATTACCTAAGTAAAGTTAGAGGATGAGAGCTACGCTCATGGTGTCGGGTCTTCCTGGTACTCTGTCATATGATGCTTGGAAACTACTGACAGTTTTGGACTCCACTGCAGTGTTAGTGGCCTTGCAAGAATATATCATTTAATGATGAAAATCTATGCTGATGTACTGAAATAACCATTGTACTGTACCTTCTTGTATATGTAAAAATAAATAAAATTACATAATGTTTCTTTATTATTTTCTGAACTGATGGCTCTCCATGAAAGTGGGGAATGGGCTAATGGTAATGTATGTGAGCATACAATATATATATGTATTCTGTAAATATTATTTATTATTATTAATAATAAATAATAATAATATTAATAATAGCAGCCATGATGAGGACTCGAACCTATGCGTTGGGTATTCCCAGACGCACGCTCTGGACGACTACGCGACAACATGGTCAAAAGAATTGCAACCTTGGGTTCTGCTGAACCCATGTGGATTCCCAAGGCTTCCACTGAAGCTGAACCAGGATTTCACACAATTCCTCCCTTCCCCTCCATGCACTCTAGCTCTGTCGTCCAGTAATTCTACCTACTGATGCCCCCACTTTCGATACACAATCTTTTGACCATGTCATGGCCTAGTCGTCTAGAGCATGTGTCCAGGAATTACCAGTGTATAGGTTTGTATCCTCATCATGGTACCTGTGGATTTTCTCATTCATAAATCACATTACTATGATTTCTCTGTGTAACAATAATTGTTATTATGTATTATTATTATTATTATTATTTCCATAATAATTGTCATCATTCACTAACCTGATTTTCATAGCTCTCAGCATAGACAGTCAACTGGACATCTGGGTGAGCATCCCACCAGGCACGGCTGTCCTCTTCACGGCCGAACCACACGGAAGCTCGCACAACACCACCCACACTCCACTTGTTCTCATCATCTGTAAATAAGGTCAAATACTAATTAAATAAACAGAACAGTTATCATCTCACATGCAAAAATGTTATGAGATTATATGCCATTGTATGGCCTTTTCTTCTGCCATATACAGTACAAAATATATAAAAAGGTTTTGTAAGACAGTAGGCATTCCCTCTGAAACTCAATACTACATACCTCGCACTGCCCTAGTAACACTATTATTCACTCATCTATCCAAATCTCATCTATGGTATCTGTTTCTGGGGCTCTGCAACCTAAAATTACTTGTGGCCTTTTATTACTTAACATAAATCAGCAATTAGAATACTGTAATAGCAAACTCCAATCCAGACAGCATTTAGCTTCTTTAGAGAAATCCTTTCATATGTTAAATATCAAGTCACCTCTCACACTCTCAAGTATACTCTTTCTATAAAACTCTGAATTGTAAAACTCATCCTGACCTGAAATGCTTCCTAGAAGGCTATAACAGAATCCATGGGCACCACACGAGAAACAAATACCGGTATATATTTGATATTCCAAGAGTGAAACTCGACCAAGACAGAAATGTAATGCAAATCGAGGGCCCCAAAATGTGAAATGACTCCCCAAATGAGATTAAAAGCCATATGTCTTCCAACCAGTTTAAAATAGAAACTATGAAATATCTAATTGGCATCACAGAACAAATTTCACTTAAATTTCTTCATCCAAAATGAGTCAATTTTGTGTTTTGCTGTTATTGTAAATATTAAATACCATATCTGAACTGCTTCTGAAACTACAGATTCTATAATAAAGTAGTTTATATCTTTCATCATTAAGTATCACTTAAAATGTATATACAATATGTGTGCGATGCAATGTGAGTGCAACAGGCTCAAGAATGTGTACAACAGTTGATTGACAGTTGAGAGGCAGGACCAAAGAGCCAAAGCTCAACCCCCCATAAGCACAACTAGGCAAGGACAGTATTAGTTGATATATTTTCTTGAAGTATTCATATATTTCGGCTTACTTTTCGTTTAGTACTAACCCTTAAACTGCGCAACACGTCATATGAAGAGTTGAGTAACTTGCAATAAATTGCGCATCACGTCATATGATGCGATGGAGTACTACGCAAAATTTAAACAGCCCACGGATACACAGGGTTCACCACACCATCAGGGCTCTTGTAAACAGATGCCATTAAAAAAAAAAATCGTGGGCCACATTCCCGGGTGTTAGGGCCTCGGTACTGATGAGCCACCAAGGCTGGCGCACGTAGCATGAGCTCACAGCACTGTTGTTCAGCTTGTGACCACAGCATCGCTTAAAAATGCCATAATATATATGTTCATGCTATTATTTAGTGGTGATAGTATTACAGAAGACCCTTGACTGTGATAAAAATGACCAGGATTCTGATAATAGCAGGATTGTTGTGATAATTAGCGCTGTAGTGGGAGGAGTAATCTTGGTGGGGAGGGAGGTAGCGTTGTCTGCTAACTCTGTGTGACCCCCTTTTACTGTCTGGACTCACTATAGCAGCTTAGTTGTTGGCTATGGTAAACAAAACATGAAGATACTTATATATAACATTTGTATATAGAAGCAAAAACAGTATGGTGGGAGGAGAATGGTGGCAAGTCAGGTGAGGTGAGGGAGGGAGAAAGTGACAGCCAGTGGCGGGCTGCCACTGCCACTTCCACTCAGCATACCAACTTAGTGGTTCGTTATGGTGAACACAAATGCAGATACTTATATATAACATGTATATATAGTGTAATAACAGCAAAAGGAGTGTGGGGAAAGAAGCCATTTTGGTGAGGGAGATGGCGACATCTGCTTGATTTGTCATGTTGGTAGGGGTGGCCACTATGTTCTTTGGGCACTATACTGGCTTAGTTGAACAGTTATGATGAACAAAACATGTAAATACTTGTATATAATGTGTATATATAGGGTAATAACACCACAAACAGTATTGTTGGGGGAGAAATTTTAGTGCGTCTGACCTTGAAGGTGTGAGGGAGGCAGCTGCCAGCTGACTGTGTGTAACGACATCTTTTAGTGCCTGAACTAACTATATCAGCTTGGTTGTGCAGTTGTGGTGAACAAAACATGTAGATACTTATCTATAACGTCTGTATATAAAATGAATAAAAGCAAAAACAGTATGGTGGGAGGAGAATGTGGGCGAGTGAGGTGTTGAGGGAGTTGAGTGGCAGCGAGTGGCTGGCTGGTGTATGGCGGTCACTCCTCATTGCTTTTTGACTCATAATGCCAACTTTGTGGTTCATTATGGTGAACAAAAACATGCAGATACTTATATATAACCTGTGTATATAGTGTAATAACCGACAAAGTATTTGTTCATTGTTTGATGAACATAATAATTGAATAAAAAATATGCACACCATAATTTTGAGTACAGCAATGATCACACATTTTATTATATAAATATATCACACTACACACTATTGAATATTATTACAGCAAAAAAAAAAAAAAAAGAAAACTCAGTCAGACACATTGAAATAATTAGTTATTTATCTCTTTGTGGCCACTCCTGCCTGACAGCTGGGGCGGAGCAGACCGCCTGGGACGCATGATGAGTCGGCGCCTGTTTTTTGCCAGACTTCCCCGCCCTATAGCGGGCAAAATATGCCACTTACGATTTTTTTTTTATTATTTTTCCCATGATCAGAGAACACAGATTAACAGGTTTAAAAGAAGTTTTGTTGTTGTTGTTGTTGTTATGCGCCTGTGGGTGACAATGGCCAAATAGCCCTGAGCAACACAAGGACTAAATGTTAACCCCATTAAACCTATAAATTATTTAATTGAATTATTTCAAGTTATACACAAAATGCTCATGTCTTTGTGAAGTTATTAAATATGCATTTTCTGTAATAACTACAGTAATTAAACTTTAATTATACATACACTGGTATATTTTTTAAATAAAATTAGTAATAGATGAATGAAATGAAATAGGTGAATGAAATATTCACCTCTTTCACCCAGGTGAATGAAATATTATTTCATTCACCTGGGCTCTAGGAGACTTGAACCATGGACCTCATGAGTGTCAGGCAGAAGCTCTATCCACTCGGCCACTATCCTGCGTTGTGTCCAAGGTTCAAGTCTCCTAGAGCCCGGGTGAATGAAATGTTTATTTCCCTGGAAGTGTGGATGACAATTTATATTATTATTATTACTTGCACAGCTATGTCACCAATAACACTACGGAATATAGTTAATAAATGTAAGAACACAACACAGATATGGTATGGCCGTGTTCACACGCATTCAGGGCATGATGTCAGTGGCGGTAGTGTCTTGCTACTGTCATATAGACCAGCATACAGGGCATGATGTCAGTGGCAGTGTCATGTTGTGCTACTGTCATATAGACCAGCATACAGGGCATGATGTCAGTGGCGGTAGTGTCTTGTTACTGTCATATAGACCAGCATACAGGGCATTATGTCAGTGGAAGTGCCATGTTGTGCTACTGTCATATAGACCAGCATACAGGGCATTATGTCAGTGGCAGTGCCATGTTGTGCTACTGTCATATAGACAGGCATACAGGGCATGATGTCAGTGGAAGTGCCATGTTGTGCTACTGTCATATAGACAGGCATACAGGGCATGATGTCAGTGGCAGTGTCATGTTGTGCTACTGTCATATAGACCAGCATACAGGGCATGATGTCAGTGGAAGTGCCATGTTGTGCTACTGTCATATGGACCAGCATACAGGGCATGATGTCAGTGGCAGTGTCATGTTGTGCTACTGTCATATAGACAGGCATACAGGGCATGATGTCAGTGAAAGTGCCATGTTGTGCTACTGTCATATAGACCAGCATACAGGGCATGATGTCAGTGAAAGTGTCATGTTGTGCTACTGTCATATAGATCAGCATACAGGGCATGATGTCAGTAGCAGTGTCATGTTGTGCTACTGTCATATAGACCAGCATACAGGGCATGATGTCAGTGGCAGTGTCATGTTGTGCTACTGTCATATAGACCAGCATACAGGGCATGATGTCAGTGGAAGTGCCATGTTGTGCTACTGTCATATGGACCAGCATACAGGGCATGATGTCAGTAGCAGTGTCATGTTGTGCTACTGTCATATAGACCAGCATACAGGGCATGATGTCAGTGGCAGTGTCATGTTGTGCTACTGTCATATAGACCAGCATACAGGGCATGATGTCAGTGGAAGTGTCATGTTGTGCTACTGTCATATAGACCAGCATACAGGGCATGATGTCAGTGGAAGTGCCATGTTGTGTTACTGTCATATAGACCAGCATACAGGGCATGATGTCAGTGGAAGTGCCATGTTGTGTTACTGTCATATAGACCAGCATACAGGGCATGATGTCAGTGGAAGTGCCATGTTGTGCTACTGTCATATAGACAGGCATACAGGGCATGATGTCAGTGGAAGTGCCATGTTGTGCTACTGTCATATAGACAGGCATACAGGGCATGATGTCAGTGAAAGTGTCATGTTGTGCTACTGTCATATAGACCAGCATACAGGGCATGATGTCAGTGAAAGTGTCATGTTGTGCTACTGTCATATAGACAGGCATACAGGGCATGATGTCAGTGAAAGTGCCATGTTGTGCTACTGTCATATGGACCAGCATACAGGGCATGATGTCAGTGGAAGTGTCATGTTGTGTTACTGTCATATAGACCAGCATACAGGGCATGATGTCAGTGGAAGTGCCATGTTGTGCTACTGTCATATAGACAGGCATACAGGGCATGATGTCAGTGGAAGTACCATGTTGTGCTACTGTCAAATATACAGGTGTACATGATGAACAATTTCCATCTAAAAACCTATGTAAACATTACATAACAAATCTGACATCAATGGTGGAACCATTAGCCAGAATCTCCATTGAGTCAAAGAACAAGTTCTTCAAATTTCTGGGCTGTAATTTAGCAACTGTGAGAAAATGAGAGATAAAAATCAAGATTAATGAATAAGAAATTAGATACAACCAAGACTTGCAGCTCACCTGGGTACCTGAGGTTGTATGTGTGGAACTTGCCGGCCAGTTCTCCTTGTGAGGTGGGCTCGTGGGCAAACAAGACGGAGTGGACAGGTATTCTAATATATGCCAAACGCCTGGTGCCGCTCATGAGCCAGAGGAACACATCAGGCATGCTGCTCTGAGGCTGTTAACAACACCACAAACAACACATTGTATCTCTTGGTACACTAAAACTTGGAAGAATTATAATATAAATAGGTATAAACAATTTTCACATCCTCTAGCAGGAAACAAAAAAGACTGGAAATAGTAATAGCATGGAAACTATCCTGCATTCTTTCTGAGGCTCTACATTCATTATAATTATGAACTGTATGTAGTTATATTTCAAATAATACAAGTCATTAGGGAGGCAAAGATTATATTAAAAATTGCTCTGAAAATGGGTAAAGCTGAACTATTAATATTATTTTCAATAAAATTCAATGATACCTAATGAGGCTGGGACCCTTGAGGAATCTTAGTCTTCCATGGTACAGTTCAAATCACTGACAAGATCATAAAATGAACACTGGCATATGCAGAATAGATGCTGACCTATCAAAATCTTTTACCTCTTGTGCCAAAATCTCTAGTCTTTCCACGGCAGACTCCAGCTCTACTATGACCTGCTGAGGATTTGAGCCATCCACCTTTCCTATGGCATCCTTCAGCTTGTCCAATTCCAGACGCCGACGATCTCTCAGGTGCCGATCAAGTGAAGTCTCAACGTGACGGACTGGATTTACTTCGGGTAAGCTCATGCTGAAAATAATATGTTGATATGAAAGGAATTTGTCCAATACAAACTCGATAGGAAGGAGAATATTACAATGTTTCTGCAAGAAATCAGTGTAAAGTTCTCTTAATAAGATGACATATACAAACATGGCAACTATCCACTCCTATATAGATAGGATGCTGATCTGGTCAATTTCTTCAAAAGGTTAGATGTAACACAATAACGATCAACGGTTTCAAACTCAACAAACCACAATGTAGGACAGAGAACAGGAGATGCTTTTTCACCCACAGGGTTATGAACCCCATGAAAATGCCTACCCACTGAAGCCATACATACCAAAACTGTGTTAAGTTATATAAATCTGTCTGTAAAAGATCAAGACAAATGGGAGGACCTTCGACAAGCCGGTTGAAGGTCCTCTTTTGTCCTAACCCTGCCTGTCCTTGTCGAGGCCACTAGGGTTAGTGGCCCTCAGGTAAAATCAGGTAAATCAGATGGCTGCCACTTAAGTCTTGTTTTCTACTACAGTGGTACCTCGGAATGCGATTGTCCCTGTATGCGAGATTTTCGGAAGGCGAGGTGTATTTACTCCAAAAATTTGTCTCAGAAGGCGAGGGTTACTTCGGGAGGCGAGTTTGGACGCGAGTTTGTTGATACGCGTACAGCCGACCTAGCGCGTTCGTCGCCCCTCCGCCCCTCAGTTTATTATTGTCTCGCGCTCAGTGACTACCCCCACATCAATTCTTCTCGCGGATTTTCAGTGTTTTGTTGGATTTTTGGTGATTTGTCTATACAATTTGTTATTATATATCTCACCATGGGTCCCAAGAAAGCCAGTGGTAAGGATAAAGGCCAGAAAGCTCATGTGAGGATGACAATAGAGGAGAAACAAGAGATCATTCGGAAGCATGAGAACGGTACACGTGTTGTTGAACTTTGTAGGCAGTACAACAAAGCCACATCAACAATATGCACTATACTTAAGAAGAAAAATAAGATTATGGGTGCTAAAGTGGCAAAAGGAGTAAGAACATTAACGGCACAAAGACCACAAATACTTGAAGAAGTGGAAAAGTTGTTATTAATTTGGATACACGACAAGGAGTTGAGGGGTGATAGTGTTTCGGAGGCCATTATTTGTGAGAAAGCCAGGGTGTTGCACGGAGACCTTCTAAAGAATACCCCTGCAACGAGTGATGCAGATAAGAAAGAGTTTAAGGCAAGCAGGGGTTGGTTTGAAAAATTTAGAAAGAGAAGTGGTATCCATAGTGTTACAAGGCATGGGGTTATGTGATGTGATTATGGAAGGGGACTCCCCTTCCAAACAGTAACTCCTCTCCTCCTCCCCCCTCCTCACCATCTTCCATACGCCTACAGCACTCGACAGCAAGGTAAGTAATAACTGGAACACAGTTTTGTAGGTTTATTTAGATGAATTAGGTAAATTAGGTATAAAAATTTAGTTTGATGTGGGGTTTTTGGGGTAGTCAGGAACGGATTAATTCATTTCCCTTTATTTCTTATGGGGAAATTAACTTCGGAATGCGAGTTTTCGGAAGGCGAGGCGTCTCCAGGAACGGATTAAACTCTTATTCTGAGGTATGCCTGTACCTTTTATTAGCTCCTCATACTTAATTTCCATTTCCTCACATCCTTACCATATCAGCCCAACTTCTTCAATTTCTCACTTACACCCTCAAATTCACTTGAATATACAAATCTTCCTTAGTCTGTCATTATCTTTTAGTGATCAAACAGAGACTTAAAAACTCATGCCCAATACATGCACTGCATACTAGTGGCTTCGTGCAATGTACTCATCTTACTTATGTATCTTCCTCTGTTCATATATCATATGTATGTACATTTGTGTAAAAAAAAAAAAAAAAAATTATTATTACAGTATTATTATTAACCTATGTTTCAAGGTTGTGAACCATGTTCAACATATCTAATCAGAATTCACTTTATAAAATGTGTAGAAGGTACATAATGTATCCATCCATAAGTGAAAGGTTACTGAACTGTTCAGAAATGACAGAAAACAACTGGTGTCAAAGATTGGTTGACTATGATAGTGAGTTTCTTGTCTTCTGTTGATATCAGGACAGTGTTATAAACATGGTAACTAAAAAGCATATTAACTATTGTCATATAGTTAATATAATAGCACTACCTAATAAATTCCCAGTAACCTACCTTACCCCTCTATTGTCAACCCTTGTTTGTTTGTTTTTAAACAATGCTGTTTGTCGACCTAATTGTATTTGTACTGCTTTTTCAGCCATGTTCCCCTCTTTTTTATTTTTATTTTTATTTGTTCTCAACACATTTTATTCTTTATACTCAATTAGTATTAAGTTTTAGTCATTAATGTTTTTCCTGCCCGAAACACTTTGTGTAATAGTGGCTTTAGACATTGTATGTACTAACTCTATCTATAAAGCCATCAATTTTTGTAAAATCTCTTGTATGTATGTACCTTACCTGAATATTTATTTATTTATTTATTTATTTATTTATTTATTTATATTTATAGGATTTAGCACCTTTCTGTATTGGAGAGTATTTGCCAGTGTTAGACCAGAAGTATTATTCATATTACATGCCCAAAACTGTGTGTGTATTAGTGACTTTAGGTACAGTATATAATTTCATTATCCAACATTCTGCTTGTTACCCATATTGTATGTACTGGTATGTATTTTTCACTAAATAAATATTATGATTATCATGAAGGACATTTTGCACAGATGTAATGTACACTGCACAGCTTCATTTCACTTCTTACCTCTCAGTAAATTTTCGTATCATATTCAAATATTTTGTGGTTTGAGATGTTGAGGTCAATGTTACTGATGGAGATTATGAAGAAGCTTTATGGTAATATGGATCAGTGTGGCATTCCACTCCAAACATTATATTCTAGTTGGGTTTTACTCTACTTCGGTTCTACACTTTGCTTTCTATGTTTTAGCCATTATTTCATCCATTCTAATACTGTACTTGTTCAGCAATTCTACATGTTTCAATTTTTTCAGGCTACTCTTTCATGTGGAATTTTGATGAATGTCTTAGAGAAGTCCAAGTAGACCTTCTTGGCAGAAACTCTTATTGGTTTGCATAATAGGATACTATTTCAAGACAAATGAGCTGAAAAATTGTTGACAAGAACTTCCTTTAAGATTCTTTCAAGTTGTTACCACTAAATAATTAATGATTATGCCATTTTATGAGACAACTATTTTTACAATAAATCCTGATAAAAACATCTGAAAAACTAAATATATTACAGGCAGAGAAAAGAATAGTTTCATAACCCTTGATTATCAAGAGAGAATGGCTCATAAAATGACACCCCCACTGAAGATGTTGACATTCCAATACCAAACAGACTTCCATTCACTCATTATTTTAAGGTATTGCCAAAATGTTGTTCATAACTAGTGACTATATAAAATACACAAATACTCTACTTGCTAAGTGACTACTGTAATATGATTGTATATCTTGCAAATAAAATAATAATACTGTACCCTGTACTATTATTACTTTTATTATTACTATTATTTTATTATTAAAATGAGTACATTATCAAAAGAAAAATTAAAGATAAAGCAGAGTGAAGGTTAGAGAATGAGTAAAACATTACTGTTAATAAGTGAAAGATGACCCAATTAAACAGGATACATTACTAACCTGAGAGCTGCTATTAGTCGAGACAAGGAAGACTGCACAGAGTCTTCAACCTCCTTGTCTTCCTCCTGTTTATTACGACGAGCTCGCAGAAGAGAATTCAAGATTTGTATGTCCTTTTTCACTGCCTATAAAGATAAATAAATTACGTGTTAAATGTAATGAAATGACCTCTTAAAGTGGACCACTCAGTAGCTCATTGAACTCCTGTATATCATTCAGACTGTCAAGCCTCAGCGATTTGCACCAGGCCTCCACAACCCACCTGAACCTACGGGGAACCAGGACCAGAAGCTGGCTCTCTTTATGAGACAAGGGAAGCTTAGAGATCAGAGAACTCAAAGTTCCCCTTGCAACAACTGTAACAATCAGAGGATTGTTACAATCATGTTGATCCTAACAATTCCCTGCACGCTACACCTCTGTGAGAAATCGAGGTTCTAGTTCTGGTCCCTGGTGGGGCAAACTCCTATGACCAATGTATCTAAGTAGTGGGAGGCCATCTCAGTGAGATAGTTTCAGGGAGCCACAAAGAGGCTTCCCCACAAAATCCCCACCTGAAAGTATAAATGCATCTCAAGTAGCAACTACTTTTAAGGAAATTAGTATGCTTGAGAAAAACAAAATAAGACCTTTACTCTGAGGCAACAAGTGTTTATCTATATCGTGCCTGATTGCCTCCAGATGGCAGCTCGGGTAATCCAGGATACCCACCAATATGGCATCTCATTCACAAGCTACCCATAAAAGAACCCTCACCTCCCCCAAACTTTCACGGGAAAGAAGGTAATAGGGTGGATGTGAGAAGCTACTGAGTGCCTAACTCACAATGGCATTTCATCAGAAGATGCAAGGTCTTTTTTTTACAAGGGACATAAAAGATTAATACAGTTAAACAGAAAAGATGGACTGGGCTTAGCTGTGGCAAATGACAAGAGAAAAGGGCATGGAGCAGAACATCATCCATTCTGTGCCAAACATCCAAGAACCCCACAAAGTCAACAAAACTGAGAACTATTCCCCACGTAGGGCCAGATCAACAAACTCTTGAACTGCCAGAAGCCCTATACCCAGATAATTGCTGTGGACATAGTGGCAAGATACACTGACAAAGCAGCAAACCTCCCACAAAACATAAGTGATGATAAACCTCCAGCTGGCTAAACTGGACAACATTGCACATAACCTGAGAGAGAGGACTTGGAACATGGAACATGCGAGACCAGGTTAACAAAGTGTCAAATTGAACAACATAAGTCGCATATAAATAATGGTGCACTATGGCTTCAAGATGGAGCACATGATGCATTCTCAACTGAGCAAACTAGCCAGGTGTCAATGACCAATGATTCCTCTAAAGGAAGAGGTCTAATTCTTAGCTGAAAACAAAGACCAGGCCAAAAGTTACAGAAACCCTGCTTCTGGAGAAGAATATGAAGCTTCCAAACCCAACAGTGCCAAAGAGGGAGGCGAGTTATATTTATTTATTTATATATATAATATATACACACAAGAGTTCTTACATTGTAAAGCCACTGGCACACAGTGTTTTGGGGAGATACTTAATTGTAATTCCTCCACAGAAAACGACTTGCCAAATTGTTAAACAACCAGGTACCCATTCACTACTGGGTGAACAGAGGCTACAGTTAATGACTGATACGCAGTCAATCCTCCCCAGCCAGGATACAAATCCAGGCCACAGTGCTCACGAAGCACCGGGCGAATGCTTTACCACTACGCACCCGTTGTGGTAAACCAAGTGGTTGGTCATTTGAGCTGCAACCAGAATACGTGGACCCAGTAGAGAGGTGCAATCTGGGCTAACAGCAGTTGAGCACATTAAGGAAGGGGTGTTTTCCCCACAGCAATAAATGATTGTCTTAGTTTTCCTCAAGGTTATTAACTTCCTTCAAACTACTGCTTATTTTAATGCTTTTATACTTTCTGGTGGATTGTTTCCATCATTTTGGGTTGATCTCTGATCCCCCAAGCTTCTCTTGTCTCATGAAAGAGCCAGAGTCTTATCCTAGCTCCCAGTAGCCTCAAATGGGCCTCAGAGGCCTGATGCATTTCCTAAAGGCTTGGCAGACGCAGTGGGTAGCTATTAAAGGGAAGCACTCCAACTAATGAAAATATCCACCTCTCAAATACTGTACATTCAATGTAGAAATCATTTGAAATACTGTGATTTTTAAGCTCCTAAAAACACCTTTCATAACTCTTAGTGAAATACTAACTGTAATGATGGCAGTGATGTGGTTGACACAGTGAAGGCGGTGGGTTACATCCTCGTACTCACAGTGGACGGTGACAAAGGGCTCTGCTCCTGACCATGGCAGAAAATAGTACCTGCCAGGGAGATACCCATCAAAGAATTAGATACTCTTCTACAGTTTCCATATTAGTTAAATAGTCATAGATAAAGACTATTAGATAAAAAGTCATACAGTATATACAAAGATCAGCTAGCAGTGTCCCCATGTGTTGTTTCCAGTGTCTATTCTAGCTTGTACTATATCAACATTGTACCTTCTGCTTGTGCTAATTCAATTCAAATCGGCATTTTATTATAACATTATCTGGTTCTTCTCATTGATCATTAAATTATAAAACCAAGACTTGATTACAATATTAAATAAAAAATGGGCTACACTTTTGTTACATGGTTACAGCTATCTGGATACTAGCATACCACACGAATAACTCAGAAGCAGGAGTTGCACAGGCTAAGGCCCTGTTTGAAGCCTGCAAACTGACCGACAACAAGAAGCAGTGTGCATTACTTAGCAGCAATGTCCCTGGACACCATTCAATGACGTAGGTAATAATACAGATATTAGGGGCTGTACTTGGGGATCCTCCAGATCAAATGTAGACTGCATCTTCCTAGACTGGCAGAAATCTAATGGTACAATTCCTCACGAAAGACTAATACACAAGATGAAAGAGAAGCCAGAATAACAAAGACACAATACTGTCAATGAGTCACAATAACTTGGCTGAAGATATGATGACCAAACCACACACCAGAAGATGAGTTGATGACGTTTCGGTCTGTCCTGGACCATTACATGTCGATTGTGAAATTGACTTGATAATGGTCCAGGACAGATCGAAACGTCATTGTCTCTTCATCTCCTGGTGAGTGGTTTGGTCATCAAGACACTATACTGGTTGAGGGAGTATCCGACTGAGAGGAAACAAAGGTTCAGAGTTAGAGCGGATATGTCAAACTGGAAAATAGAAAGTGGGAGTCCCCCAGGGTTATGTCCAAAGATCATTGCTCTTTAAATTTACATTAACAACCCACCAATGAGGTAAGTTCATAAATAAAAATGTTTGTATAACACTTTCGCGAGCGGAGTGTGCACGCCGCAGACTTTGATGTCATGCTCCCAGTGGTGCAGGCGAGCTTGCGGTCGAACGTGCGGTGACACCGAAATGTGTGTACTCGTTTCAGTTTTCTCACCTTAATTCTCGTGCTACGTCATTCGTATTGGTATCATTGTGTTCCCATTAGAATTTCCTACAGGTGTATATGCATATAATGTCCAAAAGCTCAGCATGACTCCCCACAGCAAAGCCTAAGGTCAGCCAAAGTTACCCTTGAGCGCGCACATTCAGTAAAATGTGAATACTCGTTTCAGTTTTTTCACCTTAATTCCTGTGCTACGTCGTTCGTTTTGGTATCATTGTGTTCACAATTAAATTCCCTGCAGGTGTATATGCATATAATGTCCAAAAGCCTGGCGTGACTCTCCGCAGCAAAGCCTAAATTCGGCCAATAGTTACCCGTGAACAAGCACCAATTGGCGCACCGCATCCTAATGTGTATACTCGTTCAGTTTGATAACATCAATTTTCGTGTTACGTCTTTCATTTTGGTATCAAATTGTTCGCACTATAAAGGCACATATTTAAAACTAGTCCCATAATACTGTAATAGCACAATAAATGAAATTTTAACAAATATTTTAAAATTTGGACTACAAAAGTATTTATAATCTTTAAAGTGTTCTGATCTCAATTGTCAGGCTACATCGTCATTATTGTATCAAATTGTGCACAATTTAAAGGCACTAATTTTGAAACCACTCCCAGATTGATCGGATAAAATTTAAATTTTTAATAAATATTTTAAAATGATGGACACAAGCACGAGTCCACTGCTCGGCATAGGGAGAAAAATTATGGACAATATAAGAGTTCCCCGAGTGCAATAGTGTTAAGCAAAGCTAATGAGGAAAATAAGAACTGAAAACAAAAATGAGGACCATAGTGCTGTAGGAAAACATTGATAAGCTTCAGGAGTGAGCAAATAAATCTCTGTTGGAATTAATTTCAAACAAGTGTAAGATAATGAACATGAAAAAAGAAGATGAAGACTTGTAGGAAATTACACTATGAGGAAAATGCAACTATAAGAAACAATAAAAGTTAAAGTAAACTTGAAAAAATATAGAGGCTTGCAACTGGACTAGTACCAAAATTAAAATAACTCAATTATGAGGATAGAATGAGGAAACTCAATCTTATAACCTTAGAGAACAAACAGAGAGGGGGGATGTGATCACTATATTCAAGATACTGAGCAGAATAGACAAGGTGGACAAGGAGAGCCTATTTCAATTGCAAGATCTCTAAACTCTGATGCCTTGCCCAATGGAAGGAAAGGAGGAGTACAGGACTTACAGTAACTGCCCTGCCACACAACTGTATTCAAAGGTCTGCACCTTGTAAAGCATTTCTCAGAGTGCAAATTAAAGAGAGGACCTGATACTGAACATTTATATGATCTAGTGGAATATAATCCTGCAAAAGGCAGTATGTAAGGTCAGCACCAGATCACGGCACTCTTTCCATGGCTCCACATGCCACTATAGAAACTGCCCCTCTCTACAGTAAATCAGTTATCAGTGTTCCCATTGCTGGCCACAAGTGTTAACTCTGGTGACTGTTCTACCTTGTACCATAGTGACAACATACCTACTGCTATTCTACTATTATTGTTAACTTCTGTTTTATTTACCTAAGGGCCACCATACCTCCAGTGGTCTCTACTGGGACAGGAAGCCAGTGGCTTATCAAAGGTCCACCCAATCGTTCCTTTTTGGGTTATCCTCATGATCACTAAAAAGTTCATGAGAATACTGAGCAATCATGCAGTGTGCAACAGCACTCACTTGCAGCCATCAAAGACCGGGTTAGACGGATGTGTGGAGGAGGGTGAGGGCATCATGGAGTTCTCCAGCTTGTTACCAAAATTACCAATGGAAACCTCCACTTCCAGTGGTTTTCCAGCGGCTTCAAAGTGCCAGGCACCACTAAGTTGGCACTTGAGGACAAATTTCCGAGTGCCACGGTACCTCTGGAAAAAGTAAAAATGCATTTCTCAAATATAAAAATAATACATTTTATTAGTACATATACTGTAAATTAGTACAATAGTACATTTTATTATTATTTATACTTCAGAATTTTTATGAAGGGCTATAACTAGAATTTTGTATTTTATACAAAAAAACAAATTGAGCAGACTGCTTTGGGCAATAAAACAGTAAAGAAGTTTGTCTTACAACTCTAACCTCCATTAACATATTTCTTTTCACCTCAAATATCATTAATTACATCAAGACTATCCCTAGGACTCTCCATACCATGACTCTGTTAAATTCATCATTGTCAAGAGCAGTAGCGGGCGACGGGGGATACGATCCGACTTGTGTGTGGAGAGCCAGCAAGACTCTCCCTCTATACGCACAACCTTCTTCATGGCCTTCATTCATCTTCTCGGCATCATCGCTATCCAGGAGCTCCCATTCTCGGCGTGCCCCGTACACACTCACCCACGTTGGACCGAAGGTAGGCAGATAACCTGAGTTACAAGACAGGGAATTCAAATAATAATTTTCATTCAGGTATTCTAAATGAGTTTCCATTATATTATTTTGTGGACTATTGTGTTGGGATGTGGAGATCAAGTGCAAACTGCGTGCAGGATGTGGTATTGCTCAAGACAGGAAGCAGCTATTAAAGGTTTTATGCAATAAATAATTGATGTACCTACTAATAAACCATTGTAACATGTTCCAATGTATATTGTACATATAAATTATTATGTTATGTTATTATTATGCTTATTAAAAGATCTGGTTATTTTACATGCTCTAAATGTACTGGAACAATGGAAGGAGAGTTCTAAAGAACCAGATGACTGGTGACCATTACAAATAGAACCATGATCAAACAAAGTGACATACAGTAAGTAGCCTTGAAGAGATACTGACCATCATCACCAGGTGCTGAAATGGCTGACACGGGGATGGTAGCTGTTCCAATGATGTCATCTTCACCTACGCGATCCCTGAAATCAGTCATCACTTTATACATACAGTACAGTATTACTCAGATATTAAGAGAACTTTACCATACTTTTAATTATTCATTTTGTTGGGGACAGAAAGCTTGTGTGTGTATGTATGTACTCGCCTAGTTGTGCTAGCAGGGGTTGAGCTTTGGCTCTTTGGTCCCACCTCTCAACTGTCAATCAGCTGGTGTACAGATTCTGGAGCCTATTGGGCTCCATCAAATCTACATTTGAAACTGTGAATGGAGTCAGCCTCCACCACATCACTGCCTAATGCATTCCATTTATTAACTACTTTGACACTGAATAAATTCTATCTAATGTCTCTGTGGCTCATCTGGAATTTGTATATGTATGTATGTATGTGTATGTATATGTATGTATGTATGTATGTATATGTATGTATGTATGTATGTATGTATATGTATGTATGTATGTATGTATGTATGTATGTATGTATGTATGTATGTATATATATATGTATGTATATATATATATATATATATATATATATATATATATATATATATATATATATATATATATATATATATATATATATATATATATATATATATATATATATATATATATATATATATATATATATATATATATATATATATATATATATATATATATATATATATATATATATATATATATATATATATATATATATATATATATATATATATATATATATATATATATATATATATATATATATATATATATATATATATATATATATATATATATATATATATATATATATATATATATATATATATATATATAAGTATATTTTGGTAGCAGTCTTTCCTGTAGACATATATTATTAAATATGACCGAAAAAGTAAGATTAATAATTCTAACACGAATTTTCTCAATCTTTCGTACATTTCGCTTCACTGTTGGAGGTAAATCAAAAATCAATTCTCCAAAATTCATTTTTATTTATAGTCTGACGCGACACGAGCGCGTTTCGTAAAACTTATTACATTTTCAAAGACTTTAGTTCACAAATACACAACTGAATAGAACTTACGCATCTCCGATTTTATATCTACATTTGAGTGAGGTGGAAGGGGTGATGTGGCATTAACACAAGACAGAACAAAATGTGGTATTAATAGGGTATTAATTTCATCAACACAAGACAGAACAAGAGTATTAATAGGGTATTAATTTCATCAACACAAGACAGAACACGATACAATGGATATTGAATAGAAGTGTTTGTAGAAAGCCTATTGGTCCATATTTCTTGATGCTTCTATATTGGAGCGGAGTCTTGAGGTGGGTAGAATATAGTTGTGCAATAATTGGCTGTTGATTGCTGGTGTTGACTTCTTGATGTGTAGTGCCTCGCAAACGTCAAGCCGCCTGCTATCGCTGTATCTATCGATGATTTCTGTGTTGTTTACTAGGATTTCTCTGGCGATGGTTTGGTTGTGGGAAGAGATTATATGTTCCTTAATGGAGCCCTGTTGCTTATGCATCGTTAAACGCCTAGAAAGAGATGTTGTTGTCTTGCCTATATACTGGGTTTTTTGGAGCTTACAGTCCCCAAGAGGGCATTTGAAGGCATAGACGACGTTAGTCTCTTTTAAAGCGTTCTGTTTTGTGTCTGGAGAGTTTCTCATGAGTAGGCTGGCCGTTTTTCTGGTTTTATAGTAAATCGTCAGTTGTATCCTCTGATTTTTGTCTGTAGGGATAACGTTTCTATTAACAATATCTTTCAGGACCCTTTCCTCCGTTTTATGAGCTGTGGAAAAGAAGTTCCTGTAAAATAGTCTAATAGGGGGTATAGGTGTTGAGTTAGTTGTCTCTTCAGAGGTTGCATGGCTTTTCACTTTCCTTCTTATGATGTCTTAAGACATTTTGTTCATTTGTTCAGTTCACCACATTTTGTTCTGTCTTGTGTTAATGCCACATCACCCCTTCCACCTCACTCAAATGTAGATATAAAATCGGAGATGCGTAAGTTCTATTCAGTTGTGTATTTGTGAACTAAAGTCTTTGAAAATGTAATAAGTTTTACGAAACGCGCTTGTGTCGCATCAGACTAGAAATAAAAATGAATTTTGGAGAATTGATTTTTGATTTACCTCCAACAGTGAAGCGAAATGTACGAAAGATTGAGAAAATTCGTGTTAGAATTATTAATCTTACTTTTTCGGTCATATTTAATAATATATATATATATATATATATATATATATATATATATATATATATATATATATATATATATATATATATATATATGGGCGAAAGACTATATATATATATATATGTCGTACCTAGTAGCCAGAATGCACTTCTCAGCTTACTATGCAAGGCCAAATTTGCCTAATAAGCCAAGTTATCCTGAATTATTATATTTTCTCTAATTTTTTTCTTATGAAATGATAAAGCTACCCATTTCATTATGTATGAGGTCATTTTTTTTATTGGAGTTAAAATTAACGTAGATATATGACCAAACCTAACCAACCCTACCTAACCTAACCTATCTTTATAGGTTAGGTTAGGTTAGGTACCCGAAAAAGTTAGGTTAGGTTAGGTTAGGTAGGTTAGGTAGTCGAAAAACAATTAATTCATGAAAACTTGGCTTATTAGGCAAATCGGGCCTTGCATATTAGGCTGAGAAGTGCGTTCTGGCTACTAGGTAAGACATATATATATATATATATATATATATATATATATATATATATATATATATATATATATATATATATATATATATATATGTCGTACCTAGTAGCCAGAACGCACTTCTCGGCCTACTATTCAAGACCCGATTTGCCTAATAAGCCAAGTTTTCCTGAATTAATATATTTTCTCTAATTTTTTTCTTATGAAATGATAAAGCTACACATTTCATTATGTATGAGGTCACTTTTTTTTATTGGAGTTAAAATTAACGTAGATATATGACCGAACCTAACCAACCCCTACCTAACCTAACCTAACCTATCTTTATAGTTTAGGTTAGGTTAGGTAGCCGAAAATGTTAGGTTAGGTTAGGTAGGTTAGGTAGTCGAAAAACAAATAATTCATGAAAACTTGGCTTATTAGGCAAATTGGGCCTTGCATAGTAGGCTGAGAAGTGCATTCTGGCTACTAGGTACGACATATATATATATATATATATATATATATATATATATATATATATATATATATATATATATATATATATATATATATATATATATATATATATATATATATATATATGTCGTACCTAGTAGCCAGAACACACTTATCAGCCTACTATGCAAGGCCCGATTTGCCTAATAAGCCAAGTTTTCATGAATTAATGTTTTTTCGACTACCTAACCTACCTAACCTAACCTAACCTAACTTTTTCGGCTACCTAACCTAACCTAACCTATAGATAGGTTAGGTTAGGTTAGGTAGGGTTGGTTAGGTTCGGTCATATATCTACGTTAATTTTAACTCCAATAAAAAAAAATTGACCTCATACATAATGAAATGGGTAGATTTATCATTTCATAAGAAAAAAATTAGAGAAAATATATTATTTCAGGACAACTTGGCTTATTAGGCAAATTGGGCCTTGCATAGTAGGCCAAAAAGTGCATTCTGGCTATTAGGTACGACATATATATATATATATATATATATATATATATATATATATATATATATATATATATATATATATATATATATATATATATATATATATATATGCATATAAATATATATGTGTATATAATATGAACATGCACGCACTTTATTAATACTGTAATCGGATATTAAGAAAACTTTTCTTTTGAAACCTAGAAGTATTTTAAACAATTATCACATTAAACATAGAGTACTGCATTTCTTGGTTCAAATTAATTTGCTATATAGTTCAATATCAGTAGAACAGACATTGGAATTATCAATTCTAAACTACAGCAAGGTTTCTGTTCTATCAAAGCTTTTGCTAAACATGCTGATTATTCTGACTGAAGTAAGAGAGAAAAGAATGTTCATTAGCAAAGGACTAACTCACTGCATACAGTCAAAATTTTATTATTACAAGAAGGTTATACCAATCCTTAGGTCAACTTAAAATAAGAGAGATCATGATAACATCATGCCGAAACACTGTGTGCATTAGTGGCTTTAGGCGATGTGTATATACTTTCTCTCTAGAAATCCATCATTCTTCTTTTGACTCATTTTGTATGTAATTTTTCCCTAAATAAACATTATTATAATATATTATAATATAACAATTGGAAGAGAAGAGTATTGTAATGACATATCAATCCATAGAGTGATCTTGATAACAATACACAAGAAAGGGAAAATAAAGAACCTACCAATCCATAAGAGTGATCTTGATAACATTACACATGGAAGGGAAAAGGAAGCCCATGTAAAGCTTCTGGCGGAACTCTGGATTCTCATTGGTGTAGAGTATCTTCGTCTGGACCTCTCGACCCGCATAATTGGCCATTAGATAAGGGTCTACCAGCTCTTTGGAAGCTTTCCCTATGCCAAGTACTTCCTTCAGAGTCTGCATTGTCCCAGCATCCACTGTAGGAGGAATAGAGTGATAGATGTTGAAGAGAAAACAGGAATGTATTTAAAGCTATTATTTAGTTATTTGTATTTCTTGTGAAAATTATACTTTATAAAATTGGTATTTGATAAATATAATTAGTTTTCTGCAGGACAGGAAGCCTGTGTATATACATATTTTAATTTAAGAGCTGAATCGAAGTCCCCCTTTCCCCCCAATGTCAAACTATTGACTCTCCCCAGGATGCAACTCCTCAACAGTTGTGTAATTCTTAGGTACCTATTTACTGCTAGGTGAACAAAGGCATTAGGTGAAAAGAAACATGCCTAACTATTTTTTTCTTGCCCAAGAATCGAACCCAGGTTCCCCACTTGTGAGTCGAGAATGAAGTCAACTGTGTGCACATGACAGTCATGTGAGAGCCAGTACTGGATGGGTGACTGTGCGGGTAGCTTAATCTTGGCCAGAAACCTTGATATGATATACCAAATGATTTTCCCATGTTAGGGGACAAAAAAACATTTAGTTTTTTCAAAGACCTTCTAGCCCAACAGCTGACCTTCTCTAGGAGTCAGCCTACCCCTATTCACCAGATCTGCCTCCTAACATTATCAGTCTGTTCTTCAGCATAAGAACGCTCTGCTTGGCAATAAGTATGATGTTCAATATCATTCTTCAATATCATACAATATTAAGACAAAAAATGAAGTGGTGTTTACAGGAGAGAAGTTCCTGAAGTTGAGCGACAAGAAATTCTATAAAACTTTTCCGCACCCAAAGTTTGGGGCCAGTGAATGATGTGCTCACTACCACCATGACAGAAGACTACGTTGATAAAATGAAGTCTCTTATAAGAATGAAAATTCTTTAGTTGGCCCATAGACTCTTTGATGACCGCTTGGAATGACTTCCTAAATGCAATAAAATGCTGTCTTTCTCATAATTAGTTTAAAAGAGAATCAAAGAAATTATTAATAATTATAGCAAAATTAGTCAATTGTTTATCTTAAATAAGACAATTTGTGTTTGCTGTTTTTTGCAAATATTAAACACTATCTGTACTGTTATTATACAGTATAAAATTTCTGTACCTCTACAACCCATTCTCGCACTTTCTTATAGTCAATATTGACTTACTAAATACGTGCATATGTGACATACTAATTTATTGTGAATATTTTAATTTACCTTGAAAAGCTCATAGAAAACACCGACCTTACCTAACCTTCTTAGTATGTTAAGATAAGCATCTTATTGCTTCGTAATTACAATTACTGTATTACTTAACCGATACCTATAATAGGTTAAGTAATAATTGTAATTAAGAAGCAATAAGATGCTTATCTTAACATACTAAGAAGGTTAGGTAAGGTCAGTGTTTTCTATGAAGCTTTTCAAGGTAAACTAAAATATTCACAATAAATTAGTATGTCACATATGCACGTATTTAATAAGTCAATATTGACTATAAGAAAGTGCGAGAACGGGTTGACCTCTAAAGCTATGAATTCTAAAATAAAAGTGCAGATCATTATTTAGTATCACATTAAAAACTGTATATTATTTACTAAATTTCTTATATATTAACTTCTCAATACCCAAACTTTTTAAAATCAATTCACTCATCTTAAGTCATGTCCAAAATGTAGCTTATAATACATATCATTATAAAATATTGTATACGATTACTGAACATAATAGTAACCACTGTAATCTGAGCCTTTGTATATTTTATAAATAGCATTTTATTATTAATATTATTATTTATTACTAACAGCATTCAAAATGAAAATTGTGTCATTTTTTTAAGTACAGTACTGTAATATATATGCTGAATTTACAATCTATTTCAAAAGGGGCCAATATATATTTTAACTACAGTACTGAACCTAATGTGAAATGAAAGACAGTACAGTATAGTAAATTTACTAATATAATATACAGTACTATAGAGGTCTTAGCTTCTTACACTCTCATAAAATACCTATATTTTACCCTGTAGTGCCTGAAGACTTACTTCGAGGAAGGTTCTGTGCACAGTAGACAGTGACAATAAAGGTGGCTGGTTGAAGATGGACTCCTGCTGACCATAGAAGATTAGCCTCAACATCATCCTGGTCGCTCTGACGTGCTGTCAGGTCTGGGCACACATCACCGGGTCCCAGTACTGCCACACACACTTTTAAGTATCCTGCAAATGGTATGAAAGTTTGAGGTTAGTTATGGTATCAAGTGCCTACCTCAGCAAATCTTTAAACCTCTGTAAACAACCTGTCATACCCTATGTTTGCCAGAAATGCACTGTGTTAGTTGCTTTATGCATCGTACTTTTCTTACCTGTGTTTCTTCCTCTGTTCATGTCATATGGATATACACTTGTATAAAATACTTTTTTATAATCACAGTATTATGGTTATAGGAAGGTGAAGGGCAAACCCTCGTAAACAAGTGAGAAGGATGCGTGATACCTGCTTATCAGGTAAAGATCTTGGGAGGTTTAGTACTAGCTCTGGTAAGGGTCTGAGAAACTTAAATAATAACTCTGGAAATAAGATGCTGTACCTGAAATTATTGCATTATGTATGAACATTTTTCATCTGGTAGATAATGAAAATAAAGTAGTGTTGCCAAACTCTATCATCTATCTCTCCATATTTCACCTATAGTATCTGTACCTGGGGATGTACAACCTAAAACTATTTTCAGCCTCTTATTATGCATCACAAATCAGCAATTAGAATAATAACAAACTCAAGTCCCAGACAGCACTCGGTTCCCTTACTGAAAAATTTGAATGTTCAACATTAAAACACTTCACATACTCTCAAGTGTGTTTTGTATATATATAAAGCTGAGTCACAATGCTAAGCCTGACCTTAAGCACTTCCTATAGGGGTGTAAGAGAACTCATGAGCACCACCCAAGAAACAAAAATCTTACTAATATTTTGAGAAAGCGACTTAACCGAAGCAGAAATGCTCTGCAAAACAAAGGTCCTGAAACTTGAATGGAATGGCCTCCCTAATCACATTAAAGACTGTCTTCTCTCAACCAGTTTAAAACAAAAACTAAGAACTACATAATTAGCTATGTAATCAACCTTATTTCTTTAATGTCAACCTGTGTTTTACTGTTATTAAACATTAATAACTGAACCTGTACTATTACCGATCTCTGCTGTGTAAAAACTTAATATAAAATTGTATAATATCTGTTTTTTTCTCCTCAATTTCTAATTGATTACTGAGAAAATTACTTACTGTTCTTCTGTTGCATTATTTTTGCAGTTCCAATTATCATTTAACCACTGAATTGCGCAACGCGTCTACAGGCACTCAACGGGGGGTGCACAACGCGCCTCCGGGATCTTATAGGTATAGCGTATGATTCAAAACTCCCGCGGCTACATGGGGTTCACATCAGCTTCCTCAGGGCTCTTGTAAACAGACACCAATTTTTTTTAAATCGTGGGCAACATTCCCAGGTGTGAGAACCTAAGTACTGAGTGAGCAACCAAGGCTGGTGCATGCAGCATGAGCTCACTGCACTGCTGTTCAGCTTGTGACCACAGCATCGCCTAATAATGTCACATTATATATGTAACTGGTATTATTTGGCCATGAAAGTATTACAGAAGAGCCTGAGTGTGATAATGACTGTACAATGTTCAAATATCAGTGAATCAATGGTGTTCACAATGTTCACAGCGCTAGCCACAGCATTATTTCGTCCATCTAGGAATCTTCAAACAACTTCTTATGTTCCTTTACAAAATAAACTTGTGGTCAATTATTCATTTACAGGATTTAGTGACCAGGATTGTGGTGTTAATTAGTGCTGTGCGTAGTATTGTGGGAGGAGGAATTTTGGTGAGGGAGGGAAGGAGGGAATCGAGGTAGCGTCATTGTGTGGCAGCCACTATTGTTTTGCTCACCATACTAGCTTAGTGGTTCTCTATGGTGAACACATATGTACATGGGTATGTACAGTGGAACCTCGAATAATGACTTTAATCCATTCCGGCGCTGTGATCATCATGTGAAACGGACATCATGCAAAACGAATTTCCCCATTGACAATAATGGAAATCAAATTAATCCATTCTACCACCGAAAAACATCAAAATGATATTAGATGTTTTAAATATTGGAGCAGCCTACCTTACATACACTGAACAAACCTTTGACACTTTTCTGTCTTCAAATGTGTTAAATATTTTTTTTCATTTGTTTTATAGCAAAAGGTTCGTTCAGTGTTTGGCAGGTAGGCTGCTCCATGTTTCTTAAATAAAAAAAAAAGTTGAAACAATTTGAAAAACGGACAAATGCCATGAAGGTTCGTTCAGTGTTTGTTGGGTAGGCTGCTCCATTATGACAATCTTTCTTTGTTTCAAATGTGTTCCAATTGTTTCGTATTTTTCATTTGTCTCGATAATGGAGCAGCCTACCCGATAAACACTGAACAAACCTTTATGGCATTTGTCCGTTTTAAAATTGTTTCAACTGTTTTTGTTTTTCTTGTTTTTATTTAAGAAACATGGAGCAGCCTACCTGCCGAACACCGAACGAACCTTTTTGACATACGTTGTACAGGGTATTTCAAAAAATTTAATTTCTTTTTTCTACAAAAAAGTCATTGCTTTGCAACATTTTAGCAGTGACCCCTTTATAACCCAGCATCATTAGCATCTTTAAACAAAAACATAATTTATTTGCATCGTTGGAGGTGATCGAGAATGTGTGAGAAGCAGCGCGACCCCACAATGTGGACCTGTCGTCATTCAAGTGAGTGGTCTCCATACGAGACGAATTGTCGGCGATCTGGTTGATTGTTACCCAAAATGCTCACCATTTGAGGCGATCGTCACTCGTGGTTCTACTGTACAGTGTGTGCATATACCCATGTATATATGTGCGTAGTATTGTGGAAGGAGGAATTTTGGCGAGGGAGGGAGGGAATCGAGGTAGTGTCACTGAGTGGCAGCCACTCTTGTTTTGCTCACCATACTGGCTTAGTGGTTCGCTATGGTGAACACATATGTACATGGGTACATACATTCTGATATCATTTAGTTTTAAGAGTTACCCCATTAGGCCTTCATATTGTTAACCAAATTTTTTTCCTCATATTAAACCCAAAATGTTTTGTGAATTAATGGTTTTGGGTATTGTACACGTCTTGCCTAGGAATCCTCCACTCTTCTTGTATCTTATGTAGGTATGCATGTACTTTTGCCTAAATAAATTATTATTATTATACATGTTTGTCAGTTGCAACCTAATAGGCTATCATATACAATAACTTAGGGGATTAGATGGCAGCTTACCTTGCACAGCAGGTGTGGACCTTTACAGTGAGGTAAGACTAAGATGGTGGCTTACCTTGCACTGTGGGAGTGGGCTCGTCAGGGTTGGCCAGCACCAGCCAGCGGTTGAGGATGGCATGCTCCGCCTGGTCATATACCATCCCAATCTCACACTGAAAAACATGGTGAGGATTATCGAAGTGCCAAAAACTATTTTTCATCATCATCTATTACTGCTTATGAGGGTACTTTTGACAAGCTGCCAGCTTTCTGTCGTTGCCAAGGGTATTAGAGATTGTTTGTAATACATGTAGTCAGGGACAGAAAACCTGTTAGGTTTATTTAGGTCCCTTTATGCCAACCACTGACCTTAGTACCTCACACCCATTTGGGCTCATTTAGCTACCTTTTGAGAGTCAAACTCATTTAAGCCCACATCTAGAGGTCACAGAGAATAAATATTGAAAACAAGAACGTTCAAATATGTGTATTAAGGAAGGTAACCTAATGCTAATGACTGCCACCATTTAATAGTCCAGAACAAGATGGCACCCGGAAGACATTGTGACATCATGGGAGGCGCCAACATGTAGAAACAGGACAGAATGTAGACAAGCTCCATAGGCACGGCCCCTGAATCCTGGATGCCTATTGATCCATCTAGACTCACTGGCTAGCTGACAAAAGCGAATCGCTGAGACTTCACTTGCCTGCTGACCTTGATGGAGTAGAGTTCTGATAACCTTAGCTTTGACCTTTGAAGCATTCTTCTGAACTGCAACCCTGTACGACACTTTGACCCATCGATTCAGGATGATGGATGGCAGGATGACGTCATATGGTGTTTTGGAGCAGTCAAATGGCAATTACAGCATTGACCAGGTTGCAGCCAGTTTGGATGTTGGCTGGCATTGCCTAGGTGTACTGGCCTTCAAGCAAATGCTAAAGCCTCACTGTTGTTCCCAAGAAGATGAAAAGATGTGAGCCTGATGGATGAAGGGGCAGTGCAGTCAAAACAGACTTGGAGGAATCAGACTAGAAACCCAAATCAGATTCTAGGGAATCCTATTCCCTAGAATCATTATTTGTCAATGAGAACATGACCTGAAGGTACCACTGAGGCCATTAATAATAAGGTACTGTACACTCGTTTTGTAGTTAAGTGAAGTGAACTGTCTGTTTCATCTCGTACAAGGGGACGAGTCTGTGTGACGCTATTGTGAACTACAAGCTGCAGATGGAGTGGCCATTTTGTTTTCAAATTCATGAATTTAGGCCAAAATGAATTGGCCTCTCCAAAATGACATCATCATACATGCTGATGATATACATGATGATGAGAGCAGATCTACTGGCAACAATGTTGCAACACCCGGACCATCAGGTGTGAGGCGGCCACTGTTCCCTTCTTCACCTCGAGATAAAAATTCATCATCTAACTCAGAAGACGAGGGGTCAGATTACTCCTTGTGGTGCTGCTGTTAGGAGAAAGCCTCGAATTGTGAATAAATCCGAACATCTGAACAGGAACTTGAACTATTCCCAAATTCGCATCGAGAAAGGTCTGAAGTGTTGTGTCTGCTACAAGTCTGGTAAAAGGAAGTGCATGGCATAAGGTAAAGTGAAAGTCGTGTGCTGTGGCAATGTGTCCTGCACCATGCTCCTGTTTGTACCATTGCTAGAGGACATACTGGGTGGATAAGCAGTAATGCTTACCCCCCATCCACTCCACATATAAAACATGGGTTGATAAAATTCAGGAAACCTTTTCCCTAGAGCAGGTGGAGTGGATCAACCTAATGCTCAACTCATGCTCTACAAACATTGTTGGGTGGTAAGTACAGACATGTTTTTTCATTTATTTATACATATGACATTGTTGTATAAACACTTATGTGAAGGAAGGAACACAAAAACAATATCATTCGTGTTACAAACAATGTTGGGAATGAATAACAAATGTAAAATAATGACAAAAAGCCGGTTTTTCGCATGACGATATACTTAATCTTATGGTATTGGGAATGCTGTTCTTGCATTTGCCCTTATATGCATATATCCCTTTAGAGCATTCTCTATTGCCAATAATTTGATACCAAAATGAACGATGTAACACAGAAATTGATGTGAGAAAACTGAAATGAGTAAACACATTTTAGTGTGGACGATATGGATGTGCAGATGGGTACTCGCTCACGGGTAATGCTTGGCCAATATTCGGGTTTGCTGCGGGTAGCACGCTGGTTTTCTTTTACCTTATATGCATATATATATATCCCTTTAGAGAATTCTATTGCGAACAATTTGATACCAAAATGAACGATGTAACACGAAAATTGATGCGATAAAACTGAAAAGAGTATGCAGTACACATTTTAGTGCGATTGCGAACTCACAAGTAACAATGGGCAAATTTTCGGGTTTCCTGCGGGTGACAAACTGGGCCTTTTGATCTTATATGCATATATCTCTTTAGAGAATTCTACTATTAATAATTTGATACCAAAATGAACAATGTAACACAAAAATTGATGTGAAAAAATTGAAAAGAGTATACACATTTTAATGCAGGTGCATGCTCACGGGAAATGCCAGGCCAACCTTAGGGAGGGCTGGGGTGTACACACCGGGACGCTCAAAGTGTTAAGAGTTTTGGCATCTATGGCTTCGGAGGGTAGGCGGTTCCATGGGTTAATAACCCGGTGGGTGAAAAAGCATTTCCTGTTATCAGTCCTACAGTGTGGCTTGTCAAGCTTGAAACTGTTGCTCCTTGTTTGTGTTACACCTGACCTTTTGAAGAAATTTTCCGACTCGACATCCTCCAAATTGTTCAGTATTTTAAAAGTTTCGATAAAATCCGCCCTGTCATGCCTGGTTTGTAGTGTTGTTAGCCCTGTGGCCCTCAGCTGTTCCTGATACGTGGGTTAACTTAGCTCTGGAATGATTTTTGTTGCCTGGTGTTGCACTTTCTCCAGAGTGGCTATATCCTTAAGATGAAATATTTATATTATACTGTATATTCAAGATAAAGATACAAAGGTGCCAAAAAACCATACAAAAGTTCTCTTTTTGCAAACAGAGTTGTAGAAGGTTGGAACAAGTTAAGTGAGAAAGCGGTAGATGCCAAAACCGTCAGTAGTTTCAAAGTGCCACTCATATGTCAATGATTATTGGGATATGGGACACCATGAGCATAGCTCTCATCCTGTAACTTAGGTAATTACAGTGAATCATTATCAGGAAGGAGATGGTCCCACAAGGCAGGAGTGAAGCAGTCCATTCGATCACTCATTTAGTTCTTAGTCATACCCCATAGTGCTTAACCATCTTACCTTTAAACAACTAAACTGTATTATATTAAATTTTGCATGAAACACTGTATTAGTGGCCTTATTAAATATACATTCTCTGTAAAACTGAACCACTGTGACACTTATTAAATCATTGTACTGTATTGTTCTTTTGTATATATAATAAAAAAAATATTAAGTATTAAGTCTTTGTGTTTTCCTGCCCGAAACACTTTGTGTAATACAGTAGTAGCTTTAGGCATTGTATGTACTAGCCCTATCTATAAATCCATCAATCTTTGTATCTCACCTTGTATGTATGTACTTTACCTGAATAAACATTGATTTGATTTGATTTGATTATTATTATTATTATTATTATTAATATTATTATTAATTTACCACTTAGGCTATATAATTTAAAATAAAGTAACTTGTATCCTTTTAGAATTAAGTATCCCTCTAGAAAACTGTACATATATAATTTGCTAAATTTCTTTGTTTTACATGATTTATTTCCCATAGTATTAACTATTATTCCCCAAAAAGTACTAACTAAAACATTAATCATACATAAGGTATGCCAAAAACACAGCAGGTGATTACTGACAATATAAACAAAATATAAATACCTAAAGTATTATGAAATCACTGTAATCACATCCTCTAATAATAATTAATAATAATAATTATAATAATAATAAATAATAATGATAATAATAATAATGACTTACCTTGAAGGCACCAATGATGGTGCTGGCTCGGATGCCACTCGAGTTGCACACCTGAGGAAGAGATCAAGTTCATGAGGGCACAAGAAGAGATCAAGTTCATGAGGGCACAAGAAGAGATCAAGTTCATGAGGGCACAAGAAGAGATCAAGTTCATGAGGGCACAAGAAGAGATCAAGTTCATGAGGGCACAAGACGAGATCAAGTTCATTGTGAAATTGACATAATCATTGCCTGGCACTTTTAGTAAGATCTACTATAGTGACAAAAATTGATAAAACAGTGACTATTTAAGTGACAAAATTCTTTAGGAAAAGCAATTGTATGCAAGTTATCAACTACTGTATTGTTTCTCAGTTTTAAATTATATATGTTCATTCACTAATAAATTCTGGGAAAATTCTTATCACCCAAGTAAGAACTGCCAATTAATGTTTCGTCAAAACTTTATATTAACTTTGTATGATCATAAAATGTATACCATAGGCATATATGGTGATTAATGCATTGCTCTTTCCTGCCTCAGGTTGTATTTAAATTGGATCATATCTTTCCAGAATGTCCTTAGACGTAGGTCAATCATGCTATAAAACTAGACATGAATTCTTATCATCTGGGAGCTGTAAAACTTTTTTTTTTCTGCTAAGCGATCAACCATAGGTGCTGGGCTAAAAGATGGATGCCCTGGTTTTTCACATCCTTTTCTGGAGTCCCTCCTTTGTGGCTGCAACAGTGCTCTGTTTGCTTGAGTCTTGTACACTGCCAGGAAGTGAGGTGCTTTGAGGAGTCAGATTGTAAGTAGCCAACAACACCTCAAATTGTGTATCTATTAAGGGGTATGAGATTAACTTAAGCCAACCCCAGAGAAATAGAATGCCAAGGCACTTGCAATATGGGTGGCATAAACACAGTCATGAAGTGTAAATGAAAAACAAAGCAATGATGAGAAACTGGTGATAGGCTCTTCAGAGGCCAGCATGAGTTGGAAGAGTGAGGAGAACTGGTTGGCTCTGACCTCTGATGACCTGGGCTGCCATTTGGTGGCAGTCAGACATACCAGTGAGGGTATTTACCCTACACCAATGTTCAATTGCTTTATTTATCTAAAAACGTCTAATGTCCATTAAGCAGTTGCTTCTTTTTGTTGTACCGATGCTTTCTGGTGGATTTCCCCAGTTTTGTGGTTGATCTTTGACCCTCTGTTCCCCTCTATTTGTAGAGTGAGCCTGAGTCTGAATCTAGCTCCCAATAGGCAGTGGAAAGGTCTTTAAGTCTGGCATGTTGAGCAAATGCTTGGTCGTACCAGTGATTATGTTGGGGAAACTACTGATGGTCCCCTCCCAGAAAAGAATGACTCAAGAAAATGAGTATGCCAACCTTAAATACAAGAAAATCTTCCATAAGTTCAGACGGTAATTTCTCATCTTGGAAAAAGAAGATCTGGTCGAACCATGGGGTGGTGGTGCCCTTGTGCACCCTGGTCTGCTGGGTGCTGCCGCTCAGGGACACTTGACACACAGGGTTCAGGTTGCACCCCATCAGCTGACGGCCCTCCACCACCCTCACGCGTATCTGGTGACAGGAACAAAGTACGAGTTTATGCTAAAAGAGCGTTTGATAAATATTATCTATTTTAAGAGAAATAACCGACAAGTTGGGTATAAACATCGTGTGTAACAACACACACACACACAGCCACATACACACACACACATTATGTTTCAAGGAAATAAAATTCAGAGCTGTTCATAGAAGCTTCTGACTTCATTATGCATTCATGAGAAAAAAGCATTTTCTCATTCTAAAATATGCACCTCATTTCTTTTTACTTTGATATACAGTATGGTGTATTAAAAGCAACAGAGGAGGACGTTATCTCGTGTATATACTGTACTCAACTTACATACAGTGAGTTTACGATGACATAAATTTCCCACTGCTAAATAACTATCATTACTCAGTATGTTAGACTGATTCACCAACTAAGGCCTACATGATTCCTTAAATGAAACCTTTATGTTCATTCACAAGAGGCCTACATGATTCAAATGAGGCCTGTATGATTCATCAAGTAGGGTCTACGTGGGTCACCACATGATGCCTATACGATTTATCAGACGAGACGTATATGGTATTTACTCCACATTGACCTCATATCACTACTCATCTCACATGCCAGTCAACTTAAAGATGTTTGAGACATCGCAACGTTATAAATTCCTGAGGTACTTTCATCTTTATTTTGAACATTCACCACACGCCATTAAACCATAAATGTCAGAGTGATGTCACAATGAACCATTGATCCTTTAACTGTTCTTCAGACCATCTTCCATCCACCCAAATGTTCATATAAAACTTAAGAACATGATAATAAAGGAAATTTCAGGAGTACTACTGTATTGACCCATGTAAAGCAGAACCCATTTATACGTACCCAAACTCAGTAATATACTGTATAAATCTAACCTTCATAAGACTATAAGAATAAGTCAGTATTTGTTTTATCTGGAAGGGCTATATTAAGATAGGAAAACATAAAGAGTATAATAATTCTATCTAATTAAGCAGTTAAATACATGCCTTGAACATATTCACCCACTTGAAACACACTCACTAATATCGAGCTTCCTCACCTGCCTAAAACTTTTTTTTTTTTTACTTACCTGAAACTTTGTCTTGGCACTGGAAAGTTTGTCTCTGTGCCTCTGCTGAGGCATCTGAGGCATCCCACCCGTCGCAGTCCCTTCCACCCCAACATCAGGCACAGGGTTAATGCCTGAGAGAGAGGAACATTAAAGTATGCAGTTAGTAATTACTCCTTGGAACACTGCAGGGTTGATTTACCAATATATAACCCTGAGAAACAAGTGGGTGATTTGAGAAGTATATGAGGAAGGTAGCCCTGTGATGAGAAATGCATGCTTTGCATTAAGAAAGTAAAGATCAGAGGAATCCCCATGACTGGCCAAAATATATCATATGAGTATTTTACTACTGTATTTGGTATTTTTAAAAATTGTAATTTATGTATGGAAGAGGTACGTTAGGTCTATTGTCGAGTTCATTGTGTTCATAACTATCAAATCTATTATTTGACCTCTAATAATAATTTGTCTCACTAAATTTAATATTACAGACTCAAATTAAATGTTAGTTTTATTGCATGTAATTTATAGTTTATCTGTAATATGTTAAAAATATTAAGTTAGTTTGTGCAAATATTTTACATCAAATATTACCAGAGATATATCTATGAAAGTAAGTTAACTGTCATTTTTTAACATAGAACATGAACTCCAAAATAAGAAATATAATGCTGATTTTTTATACTTAAAACACTAATTTACCGACACGGTTTTCACTGGTTATGTCGGTTGCCTCATAAAATAATTGGATACACATTGTTAAGTAATAAATGTTTATGCTACAGCAATTATATTCAGTCTGACAAATACTACACTAAACTCTGAGTATAACACAAGGTAAAGAATCATCTTCATAGTCCGGTTATTAACATTTCATAATTAAGAAACCCAACAAAATTCATTTTACGAACCTAGAGGGAGGAAGGGAGGGAGCTATCAGGGAAAAACGCCAAGCCATTACGACTATATAGCACTTGGAACGGGTCAGGATAAGGATATGAGATGGGACAGGGGAAAGGAATGGTGCCCAACCACTTGGACAGTTGTGTTTATGAACCTAGAGAATTCCTCAAGAGAAATCTACTCAGTCATCAAAGAAAAACAGATTGATGAAAGTGCATCAATCACCATTAATAATAATGATGCATTGTACATGTCACTTCTATATTTATTCACCTACTACTTTGGTCTCATTATCATCATTACTGAACTTTGTACTTTATTATTAAAGAATTTTAGGCAAAAACATTAACACAATATATCAAGTACGAAAATTTTAAATATGCAATCACTGCAGATATCCTGAAATGTACTATTATATAGCCCTCGAGATACAGTACTGTAAATACAAAAAAAAAAAAAATTAAAAACTTTTATATGGGTGTGGTGCAAATTAATTCAAGATTCTAATTTCAGAGTTGAAGAATTTTCACTCTTAAGACAGATATTACTTGTAAATTTTTTAATTTACACACTTTTGCTCTGTTCTCAAAATAAATCATATTCTAACTACTATCTTACATGTTCTATAAAAAGCGAGGTTTATAAGCGATAAAATATTTACGTTATCTACATACAAAAATTGAAAAATTGATACTAAGAAAATGGTTAACACAAGCAAGGAAACTAACTTTGATTATCTCCTATCATTAGTGTTAAATACAAGTTACCGGTACTGACGAATATATTAATCATCAAAAATAAGATTCGATGTCCAGTGTGTGAAGAACACTGCGGTAAGATACATATGAAGAGCTGGAAATAAGGCACAAGTTATTTTATGGTTCAAGCATTGAAATAATGAATATTCTCTAGCCGATTCCCACAATGCAGGGGTAACTACACAATACTCGGGATGTTGTAGTCAGCGTAGACAATAATAATTACAGTTTAGAGCACCACAAAACCTTTTAACACTTTATTAATGTGTTTATTTAAAGACTTTATTAAAGCAATAATTTTATAATCAAGATAGTTGCCCAAAATGCTCTGCATATTAGTGGTTTTAGGTATAGAATATATTAGCTTTATCTAGAAATCCAACATTCCGTTTGTAACTCATTTTCTATGTACAGTACAGTATGTACTTTTACCTGAATAAACATTATTATCATCATATAAAAAGTTACTGTAGTCAAGAGACTCTACCGTGGGTACTAGTGTCCCATTAATCAGTAAATACTCCATCAAAAGCCAAGCAATTTATTACAAGCATAAAACTACATTAAGCAGTATTTAACATTGGCATTTTATTTTTTTTAGAGCAATTACACATGCAATACGTGCCAAGGAAAATTGTCCAAAGAATTAATGTGAAGTCAAAAACATTACATGGATCAAATAAACAGGATCAGGGTGAACACAGAACACAACAATGACAGCAAATTAATTCTGGTAGAAATTATTCTAAAATAGACAGAGCCAGTAGTATTGAAAACATAAAGGAATGCATTCAAAAATATGAAAAGCATGAACAGAATGAAGAGTACCAAGATAAATAGATTATTAATGACAAAGTAGACAAAAATAAGGATAAATATAAGTTAATAAAACAAAAATTGAGTGAACTGGTTCATGAATGGTAAAATAAGGTGAATAGAGTGAGAAATGAAGATAAAATAATTCATAAAGTATAGAAAGAATGAAAGAAAGATGGAGAAATGAGGAAAGATGGGAAACACTAGAGCAAAAGTAATGTAGGTTGCAAGGTAATATAGGCATATTAAAAGGAGGATTGAATAACTTATAAAAGCTGATAAATATGTGTAATGCATCAAAATATAATGCAGTGCCTTACAGTAGCCGAGAGACAAAATTGGAGTGAAGCGATGTGCACAAGTTACAAAAGACAGAAGTAGAGTTAGCACGAGTGAGTGAGTGACTTAAGTGTGAAAATGAGAGAGATAATGAATTTTTTTTCACACATCTTGGATTTATATGATCATTTCATTTCATTCAAAATATTTAAGTATATGCAAGATATTTAAGTGGAATAGCTATGGTTGAATTTAACAAATACAGTACTGTTGATAAACATTTTAGGAACAAACTTTTTAGTATTACATTATTTTTACGGGTGCCATTTTCTGAGGTGCATTTTACGGCAAAATAACTTTAGAAAATTACAGTACTGTGTTTAACATTTATAAAGCTGCTTTTCTATATAGTCTGTCACAAATGTGAATTAAGCATTTGCATGAAACAGGCATTTAATTATTTACTTGGCTCGGTTTCTTTTGATACGTTCTTAAACAGACGCTTTAGCCCAGATCGTACTTTTTCTTGCTCCTTGCCACTACCCTGTGCTCCTGACGGATCAGAAGCCTTATGTGAATTAGAGCCCTTGGTTTCTGATTGTTCAGATACCCCAGGTGACCTAACATCCTTGCAGACTCCTGCTGAATGATGCGTACCATCTGCCAGCTCAGAGGTGACCCCGGCTGACCTGGCTGCTATTGCGCTTATGCTACGACCAGCACCTGTAGTTGCACCTACAGGAGAGTAGTGAGGTACACTTAGACAACTAATTTAAAACAAATTATATTGGCCTATAGAAAAGTATTTAGATGAGAAAGAGAGTATAAAATATATTACAAGAGGATGACTTAATTGAGGAGATGTAGTTTTTATAGTTTAAAAATACAGAATTGTTTATAAATATAACCGTCACATTTTTATATAAAATGAATTTAAGAAATGACAAGAGACAACTTTTAGGATTAGAATATAAAAACAAAAATTTGGATATTGCGGGTCATTTACTCAGAGGATTTTTTTAATTATTCCCCTCAGTGTTAGTATAATACTAAGACAATACTGATTTGTTTTATTTGTATAGAAGATTTAAAATACAACTTTAGATGCTTAATTTTAGTTTGAATGACAAAAAAAAACCTAAAATGCCGAGCCAAGCTGAAAAGAAAACACAGCAAGTAAAATAGAAAACTGAAAACGCCAGAGATGTTTCCCACCAATCTAAAAACAGAAAATGCCACCAGAGTTTTTCCCAACAATTTGTAAACCATGGCAAAAGAGGCTTGCCAAATAGAAAATCCATATTACAGTAATTACATCACCAAGATTTAAAAACTTATCTAGCAACCTACAAAATATACACTACTAAGTATGCAGAGAATAAGCCACAAAAACATGGCTGAAATTTAACAACCCAACTCACACACATGAAGAGAAATGACTGTGTTTCAATCCATCCTGGACCCTTATCAAGTGGTATGCTTTATTTTCTCATGTGTGAGTTGGATTATTGTATACCAAATACATATATAGTCTGCTGTTCAGCTATCATTTTAATATGTATGGGATTGAAACACAGGCATGAAGTGCCAGATTATCTTCAAGTGTGCATTCAAAAGTAAGAAGAATTGATTTGGAATAATGATGTTAAACTAATTTTTGGGAATAAAGAAATAGATTGTATGGGCATAGAGAAAAGATGGAAGGATGAGGAAGAGATATATACCAACCAGTGGACTTTTTTGGTTTCTGTAACGTCAGTTTGACATCCTCCACTGATGAAGGTTGATGCTAAAGCAACCAAAAATGTCCACTAAGTAGTTGAGTAAAATAGTAGAAAGAAAGCAGAAGGCTGAGAACATGGTATGAGGACAGGGTAAGTGTGTGTATGTGAGAGAGGTACGAGCATGGAGGTGTGTGTGTATGATGCTGAGGAAAGGATGAGAGGGGCACAAGTAGAAAGGAGAGTACGGAGTGAAGGACAGGGAGGGTGTGTGTCTGGGTGAGAGAAGTAAGAGTATGGAGGAGCATATGGAGCCAAGGAAAGAGTAAGAGAAGTACAAGTATGGTGGTGTGTACAGAGTTATGAGGATAGGGTGTGAAGGGTATCGACATGAAGGAGTGCCATGTCAGGACAGGGTAAGAGAGGTGCCAGTGACAAGGTAAGAGGTGCGCCAACATGCAGGGTGGTGGTATATCAGAACGTGCTTTTACTGAAAATCTACAAAAGATAATACAAACTACAGCAAGAAATGATGATTGTTGTACTGGTCAACAATATGTTTGTATGCACACTTGTAGTGCATACTTGTTCCAGTCTTGTACTGTAGTCATGCAACAGCATTGACATACAAGGTTGAGCTGGCAGTGAACATGGGACTAAACATCAAAACAAGCAAGTCTATAGGTTATACAGCCATAATGCTATAATGAAGATTTTTCCTTTTACTCTTTTCATCCAAGTGAAATAAACTTTAGACAGAAGCTTAAGAGCACTTTACTCAAGTCTTAAGGTTAATGCCTTGCAACAAAATTTGGCTTTCAAATTTCCTGTATTTCTGTTTGCACGTTCAAGCCATGCTTGTTTTGTAAGCTATATATGTGTGAACTTAAGTTTATAAATATATGAATTTGAAGTTGAGGGATTTTTCACCCAATTTCAATTTCATTTGCACTTTACAATATCCATCAAGCCAACTGAATTTTATACTAAATTGACATCCCTTATCTGAAAGCCACTCCCTGCCCAAAAAGCAAGCCTCTGTTCCTAAAGAAAGTCCTCATCACCAGATCAATATTGATAGACCATCCAATCCTATCTCCTCACCCCCTACCTGCTGGAGGGCTGTAAGAGAGGGCCAACTTAAGAGTGCCAACTGTAGGAGAGTCATTAGCATCCAGGAGTCCCAGGTCATAGTCAAGGGGTGTGCCTGGGGCCGCATGTATTACGTTCCTTAAGGCAATTGTCGCCTTTCCCAGCAGTCTGAAACACATAGGCAGCTTACATAACATTTACTGTGGTACTTGTTATAGGGTTCATATAATATGTGCTCCCACTATTTTGTTGTAATATTGTTTAGCAAGTAAAAGAAAGATTTAGTATATAAAGCTATATAACAAACTAAAAATTAATAAGAGGAAGAATATATTAGTAATAAAAATAATAATTTGTTTTATTGGGGGACAAGCAGCCTGCATATATATACCTGAGACTTGTATTGCCCGAAACGCTTTGTTGTTTTATTGGGGGACAAGCAGCCTGCATATATATACCTGAGACTTGTATTGCCCGAAACGCTTTGCGTAATAGTGGCTTTAGGCATTGTATGTACTAGCTCTTATCTATAAAGCCAACAAACTTTGTAAAATCTCTTTATGTATGTACCTTTGCCTAAATAAAAATTATTATTATTATTATTATTATTATTATTGAGGTCTCCCCAAAGTTGAACTACTGACACTTCCCAGGATGCAACCCCACAACACTTGCCTAACCAATTAATTTACGTCCTAAGTCTTCATAGCTTTAAGCATGTTTGGCTATAATGGATAGTTCCATGAAACTTGTATGAAGACAATACAATGTAATGAGCAAATAGGATCAGTTAGAAATTGTCATGAAGTACCGGGTACACATAATCATGTAATTATCATCATTCTTTCCCCCCCCCCTTTTTTTCAATTCAATTCATGCTCTGATCTCAATTAGTTTTAAGTTTTATTATAAGTGTTTTCCCACATCTTGCCTGAAACGCTGTGCGTATCAGTGGCTTTAGGCATAGTATGTACTAGCTCTATCTAGAAATCCAACATGCTGTTTGTAACTCATCTTGTTTGAATGTGCTTTTACCTGAATAAACATTTTATTTTATTTTAACAATTCCAATCAAATAAGCATTGTGACAATTATAGTCTACAGATAGAGAATTTACTGAGAAAATAAAAACAATAGAAATAGACTGATTAGGAACAATATAGAGAACATAAGCAGATGATAAGTCACAATAACATTGCTGATGATGACCAAACTACACATCAGAAAAATTTAATAAAGTAAAATGTTTATTCAGGTAAAAGTACATACATACAAGATGAGTTACAAACAGAATGAGTGACAAAAATGAGTTTCCGATTGGACTCTTCATTGACCTAAGAAAAGCCTTTGATACTGTTAATCACAACTACCTCTTATTTAAACTCCAGCATTATGGAATCCGAGGCCTTGCCCTTGACTACATCCGATCCTATCTTAGTGACAGACACCAATATGTAACCATCAATGATACAACTTCTTCCACTCTACCAATTACCGTTGGAGTGCCACAGGGCAGCATCTTAGGACCTCTTCTATTTCTTATATATATAAACGATCTGCCTAATGTCTCTAATATTCTCAAACCTATATTGTTTGCTGACGATACTACCCTTATCTACTCAAACCTCAACCCACATACACTAAATAATGTTGTGAATAATGAATTAAAAAAAGTCCACTTATGGATGTCAACGAACAAACTAACATTAAACATCGAAAAGACTTACTACATCTTATTTGGAAGCAAATCATCAAATGCAATTCAGCTACAGATAGACAACATTAACATCAGTAATAAAAATGATGGCAAGTTTCTTGGCCTATTCCTAGACAAGAGACTCAACTTCAGCACCCACATTCAACACATAACTAAGAAAGTCTCTAAGACAGTTGGTATACTCTCCAAAATCAGATATTATGTTCCTAACTCTGCTCTCCTCTCACTATATTATGCACTAATCTACCCCTATCTTAATTATGGTATCTGTGCATGGGGGTCTACCACTGCAAACCACCTTAAGCCCATCATCACACAGCAAAAATCTGCTATCAGAATAATAACTAACTCTGCTTTCAGACAACACTCAGCTCCCTTGTTTAAATCTCTAAACTTGCTAAATATTAACTCCCTCCACACATTCTCTTGTGTCAACTACATTTACAAAACCCTGTTCTTAAATGCAAACCATGCTCTGAAACTCTCCCTGGACAGATGTAATAGGACCCATTATCACCACACCAGAAATAAATATCTCTTTGATATCCCCAGGGTCAAACTTAATCTGTGTAAACGCTCTATGCAAATTAAGGGACCTAGTCTATGGAACTCACTCCCTAGTGAATTGAAAAACTGTAAAACTTTTGCCTTATTTAAAAGCAAAACCAAAAAGTACCTAACTTCATCTATTTAGTTTCCTACACTGAGCTTTAAATTTGCTCTGTACCTAGTGGTACCCAATCTCCTAATTTTTATGTAATATCAAACAACCTTATCATTGTGTTCATTGCTGTCTTCTTTTATGTGCTAGCCATATGCTGTATTGTGACTACCAATTTTTGTCAACTACCATTCAAGCTGTCATTGCAATCAATCTTATATTGTTTCTGCTGTATTGTGCCTACCAATTTGTTGTCAACTACCATTTTAAGCTGTCATTGCAATCAATCATAGCTACCTATGTGCTTTAATATACTGTACCTATAATTTTCTCTCATCTTTTTTTTTTTCATTCCATGTAATCTGTTATCATTTTTTTGTCTATAAATTTTGCAAGTATTTACCTCCTTAAAATTTTCTTAGATTAAGGACCTGCCCGAAACGCTGCGCGTGCTAGTGGCTTTACAAGACTGTAATTACCATAATTGTATCCTCACATTCCTTATGTACATTCTTGTATATGCATAAATAAATAAATAAATAAATAAATAAAAGAATGTTGGGTTTCTAGATAGAGCTAGTACATACTGTGCCTAAAGCCACTAATACACACAGCATTTTGGGCAAGATGTGGTGAAAAACACTTAAAATAAAACTTAAAACTAATTGAGATCACAGCATAAATTTAAGTGAAAAAGGGAAAAAAGAATTGATAACAGTTACATGATGGACAGAACAGCACAAATTTAAACAGAACAGCTGTAACGATGAGACAGAACAGAACAGAAGATGAGGAAACTACGACGTTTCAGTCCGTCCTGGACCATTATCAAGTCATGTGTTATTAACAACAATTAACTTGATAATGGTCCAGGACAGACTGAAATGTAGTGGATTCTTCATCTTCTGATATGTGGTTTGCTCATCATAGAGAACAAACCCGTCTCCGTGGTGTAGTGGTACTTTACACAGTCTCCGTGGTGTAGTGGTAAGACACTCGCCTGGCATTCCGCGAGCGCTGTCATGGGTTCGTATCCTGGCCGGGGAGGATTTACTGGGCGCAATTCCTTAACTGTAGCCTCTGTTTAACTCAACAGTAAAATGTGTACTTGGATGAAAAAACGATTCTTCGCGGCGGGGATCATATTCCAGGGACCTGCCCGAAATGCTATGCATACTAGTGGCTGTGCAAGAATGTAACAACTCTTGTATATATCTCAAAAAAAAATAAAAAAAATAAATAAATTATTTCAGTAATGCAATATGATTAGACAAAGCAATATTCAGCATAATAAATTTAAAACAAGTTTACACAGGTACAGGCAAGCACTAAACAAAAAAATGTCGTGATAACATACAAGATAAATTGGAACAGACAAGGCGGACAATAATTATCTTGTATTAGTATTAATGCCTTGAGTCTCCCCTTACAACCCGGCAGATGTTAGAGAAAACGGCCCGAGACCTCCTGGAGACCAACTGCTCGCACTCGCCCAGCATGTAAACACAGCGTCTACTGCTAGTTCCTTCCTTGGGGTTTACATATTTACCGAATTTACATATTATGACTGCTCAATCCGGGGTCACTAATAGACAATGGGTAAGCCAATGGCAAATCACCTGTAATAATCCGTACATTTTATAAATGTACGAACCATAAGGAGGGAATGAGAACCATGGACACTGTTGTTGTTGTTGTGTTGATTTAGGGGCGACGACGATCGTGGGATCGGATGCGCCCCGGCTGCCCGATACCGGGAAATAGCGAAGGGATGGGGCCCCTATAGTCTCTTCAGGCCACAGACCCTACAATCTCCTCAGGCGACAAATTTTACAGTCTCTTCAGGCCGCGGACATGACGGATGAAGCGGAAGGTATGGCGAAGGATGTCATGACGGACGTCTTCGTCTCTCGCACCTGCCCCGTCATGGAGAACGGGAACTGTGAGGCGGGGAATATTCAGCCTACGAACGGAACTCTGTAGTCTGACGCGAGCGCTATGAAATCGAGGGCAGTGAAGTAGAAGGTGCTCCACTGTATCCTCCTGGGTCGGACACCACTGGCAATATGGGGAATCTACCAGCAGTAGACGATGGAGATGTGCGGCCAGGCAAGTGTGCCCAATCCGGAGACGAGTGATGGCAGTGTCGAGGAGTCGAGAATGATGACGACGATAAAATTGCGTAAAAATTGCGTCTTCTTAAAAAGGGAGCGGGCATTCCAAAACACCACAGTATTCTCAGGATGGGGCGCCATTATCCCTGAAATACAACAGCTAACTTTTTGACCACCAGTGCACAGACGTCTCCAAAGGGGGAACCACTAGAAAAAGCCATAAAACCTTCATACAAAGTAAGTAAAATATGTGGTATCAATGACTTCCAGTCAAGAGGATGTTGATCTATGTTTCTCTCTGCCTGACGGAAGCGGTGGTCGGCTCGCGAACTCTCTTGACGGCGTCTGCGACTGGTGGGAGCCTCACTCTGGGCCTCATGTTCCCCCGGTGTCACAATCCCTTCGGAAAGTGCCTGGGGGACCAGAGGATCATCAGGGCTGTCTGTTGGAGCAGTACCTCCTGATCGATGGGTGTGTCGACGACGCCGGTGTTGGCTTCTTTGAGGAAAGGCAGGAGGGTGACGAGTGCTAGGCTCCGGCCGAGACTGAGCGTCCATGTCTGTATCCGTGGATGAGTTTCCGTCAGTGTCAAGGCTACCCAGGAGGGAAAATCGATTAGCAACCTGGGCGTATGTGGCATGTGACTGGGACAGGCAAGAGCGTCTGCTAGTTCCTACTTGTGAAGAGGCCCGACCAGGGGGAACCTGGAGGCGAGAAGAAGCGATAGGCTGATTGAGGGTACGCAACTTCTGGAACAGCTCATGTCGAGGTGTCCCCGCTGTTTTGTGATCGATGTCCAACTGGAGGGCCTCAAGATATACAGGGCAACTCTTAGACGTAACCTTATGATGGCCATGGCATAAAAAGCAGCGGGGTGCAGCAGAGCACCCACCGTCATCTCTGTCTGAATGGCCAGTTTTGCCGCAGTTTGCACACCGTGCTGTATTACGGCAGGTCAGGCGACTGTGGCCCAATAGATGACAAGCGTAACATCGTAAAACAGGGAAATTGTAGGGCTGAACCTGATACGAGGTCCTGTGTAGTGCCACTCGGTCAGGGAGGTGCCCATCGAACTTTACACGGACCATGGATGTCGGCCCTGCTGCTCCGCGAATCCTGGTAACTTCCAATAATCTCACTGATGCACCCCCTAATACCTGCAGAGCGGCCTGGATGTCATCCACATCTACACTCTGGTCAATTGGGCCAATCTTCCCATACCGGGCCCGAGACTCCTCCTCCTGCGACAATACCTGTCGGCACCTGACAGGCCAGTCCCCCAACTTATTAATGTCGGATACACAGATGTGTGATAGAGCCTCCTTTCTGATATGTAGCTTGAGTGCTGCACCCCTACCCAGGGTACGTATGGTCTCAGGCAGGCAATGTGGCCACAATACGGAAGCCTCGATTGCTGCACCTAAGGTACGAGGATTTGCAAAGACGCACTGACCTGATTCTGACTGGATTAGGACTACCACAAACGAGGAACGGGGTACCACAAGACTAAGGTCTTCTGAAGGGGAGGATATCCTCTTAGCATCTCGCTCTGGGGCAGCATCAGCCGACTCATCTTCTAGCAGACGTTTTCCTCTCTGGGACTTGCTGTCAACATCCATGGCGCCCCCGCTCGGGGAGGCGTCCATTTGGGAGGCTCCGGCCTCCCCCGGTCCTGTGAGCCCCTGGGTAGCTGCAGTGAGCACACACTGGCCCAAAGAAGCCAGCTGAATTAAAGATGAGTTCCAGGTAAGGTGTGGAAAGAAAGTCCAGCCAGGAGCGTTCAATCCGCGCGCCAAGATGGCCGACCTTCCCGCCCCCTCCCATGGACACTGTGTTTACATGCTGGGAGAGTACGTGCAGCTCCGTTGGTGTCCGTGAACTCTCTGGACGTTTTCTCTAACATTAGTCTTGTTGTAAGGGAGTTATTGCTCAATAGGAGAAATATACGGATTTACTCGTATCCTGTATGTATGTAATGTATTTTTGTTTTATTTATTTATTTATTTTATTTATTTATTTATACAAGAGTTTTTACATTCTTGTACAGCCATAGCGTTTCGAGCAAGTCATTAATAAATAAATAAATATAAATAAATAAATGTTTATTTAGGTAAGGTACATACATACAAGAAATTTTTACAAAGATTGGTTGACTTATAGGTAGAGCTAGTACATACAATGCCTAAAGCCACTATTACGCAAAGCGTTTCGGGCATCCTAATCCTAATTTTCCATGGAATATGACCTGCCAAATTGTTTAACAACCAGGTACCCATTCTCTGCTGGGTGAACAGAGGCTACAGTTAAGGACTGACACCCAGTCAATCCTCCCTGACCAGGATACGAACCCAGGCCACGAAAGGCCAGGCGAGTGTGTTACCAGTTCGCCATGGGGAAATAGATGAAAGTGACTTCTACAACTTCTTTCAGTATATTCTAGCTGATGACCACACATACATGTATGTGTGGTCACACATGCGTATGTGTGGTCACACATGCGTATGTGTGGTCACATGCGTATGTGTGGTCACACATGCGTATGTGTGGTCACATGCGTATGTGTGGTCACACATGCGTATGTGTGGTCACACATGCATATGTGTGTGGTCACACATACATATGTGGTCACACATACATATGTGTGGTCTACAACTTCTTTCAGTATATTCTAGTTGTTGAAGTAATTTTTATCTACAATATCATGGCCAGATTAACAAGTAAATTTGAATGTTAGATATAATAGTAAACTTACAACACAACAGGTTATAAGGATAGTTACCCGAGGGCCACCATCTTTAATGTATAAATGTTCAGCAGGGTTACACGATCCTGCTTTCATTGAATGTTCAAATCAGTGGGATGCTCTTGCAGCCCCAGCACGCAACATATAGATCCAACAAAAAAAAAAAAACAGTCCAGCTGGGACCATCCACTAGTGGAAAAAATAGCTGATGCCATGCTCAGCGCCGTAACGTCAAACAAGGAGAAAGCCCGCCTCAGAGCAGTGTCTGCCCCTTATGAAGGGGACTTCCTTCTGGCAGTACCCATGTCGGCAACAGACACGCGTCTAGATCCAGAATCCCTTCTCCCCTTCACGTAGCAGTGACCCTCCGCCTTGGTGCCCCAATTCACACTGAGTACAAGTGTATTTGCAACAGGGTGGAAGCAGACCAATATATATGGACTGCATGGGTTGCACTGCAAAAACTCGAAGGGTTGGCATGCAAGATACAATGAGGTTCTGCCCAAAACGCTATGCATGTCAGTGTCTTTGAATGAATGTAAAAATACCGGTCTTGTGTAATCTTACCAACCCATTGTATCTTCTTCCAAGTAAAAATTATTACTATTATTATTAATGACATCAAGAGGAGTCTTTCCGCAGCACAGTGCTCAGCAGAGAGAGAACCTCGCATTCTAGGGGACCAAAACCTGGATGACTCCGCACTTCACTCAGATGGCATCACATATACCCCTGGAAGAGGGGCAAACAGCTGGTGTGGAAGTACACATGTGAATCCACCCTGGCTGACACCTACATAAACTTCAGAGCTGATTAAGCAATTGGGGCGGCCAACCACAGAGAAATAGTAAAATCAGTTAAATACAGGTGATTGGAATGTCATTACACTTTTGTTCCCATAGCGATTGAGACTCAGCCCCTGGGGAAGGAGTGCCTTGGGATTTCTCAAAGAAATGGGAAAAACACACTAACACACAAAATAGGCGAGTACACAAATGCCATGTGGCAATTGTAAAAATTGCCATGGCCACATGGCCATGTAAAAAATATAAGGCAGTTTCCTGCAGTGAGAAACTTACCTGTTCTTCCCTATTCTTTCATAGTCCTTTACCGTAATGTCAATGCACTCGTCGGCCCGGGGGGGCTTGGTGCCCAGCTCCCACCTCAGAGTTTCATCCCAGACTGGGTCCAGCGTCCCATCTTGCACCTCAGTTTTCTTTTTCTCGCCTGAAAAAAAAAATATTTTGTTAAAATTGGAGCTTACATTTTTATATCTTAAAAAATACCAGTCTTGTGTAATCATGCCAAACCATTGTACCTTTTTGCAAATATTTTTATTATTATTATTATAACTGTAATTATACTCTATAATAAAATATGTGGTTACCTGTGTCTAGGTCAGGAAAGCTGTGCTTAGGCCTATAAATGAGGCCTACCAGGCCAATATTGACCTGCCACAGGGGTGCAACCCATAGAAGAACTCTCAAAACTCCTTCCAGGTACAATCCAGGTATTGTTTAAGCCTATAAATAATCAGTTTAAATCGTTGTCATTGTTCGGTCCTGCATGTTTACTTTTGTCGCGTGTCAGCCTTGACAGCTCAACCCGTTCTCACACCAGGCTGGTTAAAGCAGCGGCCGTCCTCCCCAAACGCATTCATCAATTTTAACATATTGTGTACTAAAAATTGGGTTGTTCTCATATATAAATTAATATTCTTATACATAAAAATTGTATGAATAGTTTGGCGTAGGTTAGGTTAGGTATTTAGGTTCAGTTGGTTGTTATTTGTATTTATAACTTCGTGGGTGAAGTATTTATAGAATTGTGGTTCGAACAGAGGACGTGAGCGAAGCATTTGTTCCGGAAGTGTTCGGACGGCATCAGTTGTGAGTCGTGTGTAAACCGTTTTTCATTCATGAACAGGGGGGTTTGGCGG